GGAGGCAAGTGTCCAGGAATTTATCCATTTCTTCCAGGTTTACTAGTTTATGTGCATAGCGTTGTTTGTAATAATCTCTGATGATGGTTTGAACTTCTGTGGAATCTGTGGTGATATCCCCTTTATCGTTTTTTATTGCATCAATTTGGTTATTCTCTCTTTTTTATTAATCTGGCTAGCGGTCTGTCTGTTTTGTTGATCTTTTTGAAAAACCAGCTCCTGGATTTATTGATTTTTTTTTAAGAGTTTTTTGTGTCTCTATCTCCTTCAGTTCTGCTCTGATCTTAGTTATTTCCTGTCTTCTGCTAGGTTTTGAGTTTTTTTGATCTTGCTCCTCTAGCTCTTTCAATTTTGATGCTAGGGTTTCAATTTTAGATCTCTCCTTGCTTCTCATGTGGGCACTTATTGCTATATATTTTCCTCTAGAGACTGCTTTAAAGTGTCCCAGAGATTCTGGTATGTTGTGTCTTCGTTCTCATTGGTTTTGAAGAACATCTTTATTTCTGCCTTCATTTCATTGTTTATCCAGTCAACATTCAAGAGCCTGTTGTTCAGTTTTCATGAAGCTGTGCGGTTCTGAGTTAGTTTCTGCATTCTGAGTTCTAACTCGATTGCGTTGTGGTCTGAGAGACTGTTTGTTATGATTTCTGTTGTTTTGCATTTGCTGAGGAGTGATTTATTTCCAATTATGTGGTCAATTTTAGAGTAGGTGTGATATGGTGCTGAGAAGGATGTATATTCTGTGGATTTGGGGTGGAGAGTTCTGTAAATGTCTATTAGGTTTGCTTGTTCCAGGTCTGAATTCAGGTCCTGGATATCCTTGTTAATTTTCTGTCTGGTTGATCTGTCTAATATTGACAATGGGGTGTTAAAGTCTCCCACTATTATTGTGTGGGAGTCTAAGTCTCTTTGTAAGTCACTAAGAACTTGCCTTATGTATCTAGGTGCTCCTGTATTGGGTGTGTATATATTTAGGATGGTTAGCTCTTCTTGTTGCATTGATCATTTTACCATTATGTAATGTCCTTCTTTGTCTCTTTTGATCTTTGTTGCTTTAAAGTCTATTTTATCAGAGATGAGAATTGCAACTCCTGCTTTTTTTTGCTCTCCATTTGCTTGGTAAATCTTCCTCCATCCCTTTATTTTGAGCCTTTGTGTATCCTTGCATATGAGATGGGTTTCCGGGATACAGCACACTGATGGGTTTTGGCTTTTTATCCAATTTGCCAGTCTATGTCTTTTGATTGGGGCATTTAGTCCATTTACATTTAGGGTTAATATTGTTATGTGTGAATTTGATACTGCCATTTTGATGCTAGCTGGCTGTTTTGTTCGTTAGTTGATGCAGATTCTTGATTGTGTTGATTCTCTTTACCATTTGGCTTCGGAGTGGCTGGTACTGGTTGTTCCTTTATATGTGTAGAGCCTCTTTCAGGAGCTCTTGTAAAGCAGGTCTGGTAGTGATGAAATCTCTGAGTACTTGCTTGTTCGCAAAGGATTTTATTTTTCCTTCGCTTATGAAGCTTAGTTTGGCTGGATGTAAAATTCTGGGTTGAAGGTTCTTTTCTTTAAGGATGTTGAATATGGGCCCCCACTCTCCTCTGGCTTGTAGGGTTTCTGCTGAGAGATCTGCTGTGAGTCTGATGGGCTTCCCTTTGTGGGTAACCCGACCTTTCTCTCTGGCTGCCCTTAGTATTTTCTCCTTCATTTCAACCCTGGTGAATCTGACGATTATGTGCCTTGGGGTTGCTCTTCTTGAGGAATATCTTTGTGGTGTTCTCTGTGTTTCCTGGACTTGAATATTGGCCTGCCTTGCTAGGTTGGGGAAGTTTTCCTGGATAATATCCTGAAGAGTGTTTTCCAGCTTGGATTCATTCTCTTTGTCACATTCAGGTACACCTGTCAGACGTAGATTAGGTCTTTTCACATAGTCCCACATTTCTTGGAGACTTTGTTCATTCCTTTTTACCCTTTTTTCTCTAACCTTGTCTTCTTGTTTTATTTCATTGAGTTGATCTTCGACCTCTGATATCCTTTCTTCAGCTTGGTCAGTTCAGCTGTTGAAACTTGTGCATGCTTTGTGAAGTTCTCGTGTTGTGTTTTTCAGCTCCATCAATTCACTTATATTCCGCTCTATGTTGTCCATTCTTATTAGCATTTCATCAAATCTTGTTTCTAAGTTCTTAGTTTCTTTGCATTGGGTTAGAACATGTTCTTTTAGCTCACTGTAGTTTCTTATTACCCACCTTCTGAAGTCTGATTCTATCATTTCATCACACTCCTTCTCCATCCAGTCTTGTTCCCTTGCTGGTGAGGAGTTGTGATCCTTTTTAGGAGGAGAGGTGTTCTGGTTTCAGGTGTTTTCATCCTTTTTGCACTGGTTTCTTCCCATCTTGTGGGTTTATCCACCTGTTGTCTTTGTAGTTACTGACTTTCAGATTGGGTCTCTGAGTGAACTTCCTTTGTGGATGCTGAAGTTACTTCTTTTTCTTAGCTTTCCTTCTAACAGTCTGGCCCCTCTGCTGTAGGACTGCTGAGGTCCACTCCAGGCCCTGCTTGCGGGGGATCACCTGCAGCAGCTGCAGAACAGTAAGGGTTGCTACCAGTTTCCTCTTTTGCTATCTTTGTCCCAGAAGGATGCCTGCCAAATGTCAGTCTGTTCTCTCCTTTATGAGGTGACTCTTTGGATATATGGGCATCAGGGAGCTGCTTGAGGAGACAGTCTGTTCTTTATTGGAGCTCAGGTCCTGAGCTATGAGCTCCGTTGTTCATTCAGAGTTACTGGGCAGGCACGTTTAGGTGGTCTGCTGCAGCAGAGCTCATAAACTCCCTTTTTTTTTTTTTTCCCCAGGTGCTCTGTCCCAGGGAGTTTGGGCTTTATTTATGAGTTTCCGTTGTGCTGCTGCCTTTTTTTTTTTCTTTCAGGGCTGCTCTGCCCAGCGAGGAGGCAGCCTAGTCACTGTCTGCCTGCAGAGGCTTTGCTGAGCTGCTGTGGGCTCCGCCCAGCTGCTGCGTGATCTTCCTTGCAGTCCTGTTTATATGGGTGTAGTTAGAACTGCCTTGGCGATGGTGGCCCGCCTCTGTTATGGCGGACTCTCTCTGTAGTGGTGGGTTGCCTTGGCAATGGTGGGCTGCCTCAGCGATGGTCAGACTGCCTCTGTAGTGGTGGAGTGTCTCAGTAATGGCGGATGCCCCTCCCCTACAGAGCCTGACCCTCCCGGGTTCAGCTGTGCTAGCTGTGAAACTCTCAACCCAGAGCGTTTTCAATTACTGTTTTTTTGTGTGTGGGGGGGAGGGGTGGGGGTGGGACCAGCCGAGCCTGATCACCTGGCTCCCTGACTCAGAGTCTTTTTTTGTTGTTGTTGTTGAACGGTCGACTCTCCCAGTGTTCCTGTCGCCTGTTGAAAAGGCGCCGGGATCTCCCGTGCTGCGACTCACTGAGCCGGCTGAAACAGTGACGCTGAGATTCCTGGCGGTGTTTTTGCCTAGGAATCTCCTGGCCTGGCTCGCTATTTCAGATGAATGGGTGACTCTGCCGTCTCAGGGCTCCAGTCGCTAGCTAAGAGGGCACCCGGACCAGTGTCTTTTGTACAGAGAACCGCCGTGCCAGGGCTCGGGCAAAGCAGCTGCGGGGGCCAAAACAGCCGTGCTGGCAACCTGTGGGCCTCCTCCGCCTGGGAATCTCCTGGTCTCTGGGCAATAAAAATCCATCTGGAAATGCGGCATCCACTCACTCTCTGCACTTCCACTGGGAGCTGCAATCCTGAGCTGTTCCTAGTCGGCCATCTTTCCAAGTGATCTTATTTTTATTTATTTATTTTTTTTGAGGCAGAGTCTCACCCTGTTGCCCAGAGTATCTTGGCGTGATCTTGGCTCACTGCAACCTCCGCCTCCCAGGTTCAAGCAGTTCCGCCTCCCTAGTAACTGGGATTACAGGCATGTGCCACTACACCCAGCTAAGGGCTGTATTTTTTATTAGAAATGGGGTTTTACCATGTTGGCCAGGCTGGTCTCAAACTCCTGATCTCAGGTGATCCATCCACCTAGTCCTCCCAAAGTGCTGGGATTACAGGGATGGGTTACTATGCTTGGGCTGGCTTATTGTTAATTGGGAAAAAATATTGTAGAACATTACATACAATGTTTTATTTTAAGGAGCTTTTTTAATATATGTATTATATGTATAGTACGATATGACTGTGTGTATGTGTGTTGTGTATGTATATGTGGATGTGTTGTATGTATGTATACACGCACATTTATGGGAATTAATATAAATACTCTAGCCACCAAATTGTTTACTCTTTTGAGGGAGGGGAGTGACATTTGGGGGAGATAGTAAAAGAAGTCTCTGATTTTTTATTTCTATATATGTATACACATCAACAAAAATATATCCATGTATTGAAATGGGATTTTTGGCTGGGTGCAGTGGTTCATGCCTATAATCCCAGCACTTTGGGATGTTAAGGCTGGTGGATTGCTTGAGCTCAGGAATTCAAGACCAGTCTGGGCAACATGATGAAACCCCACTCTACAAAAAAATATAAAAATTAGCTGGGCATGGTTGTGCGTGCCTATAGTCCTAGCTGCTTGGAAGGCTGAGGCAAGAGGATTGCCTGAGCCTGGAAGATCGAGGCTGCAGTGAGTCGTGATTATGCCACTACACTCCAGCCCGGGCAACAGAGTGAGACCTTGTCTCATTTTGGGAAGGCGGGGTTGGGGCAGGTAATTTTCATAAAATCTGTTGTTGGATTTCAGAAGTCATTTAGGGCAAGTAAAGGCTGACTGTTACTTTATGATCACTGTATCTTTTAAAAAAAGATTCAGAGAAAATTAGAAAAATATCTCTTTAGAAGATAGATTCCCTTCCTCTATGTGTTTCTTTATGCACGCAATCCATTTCCAAGTGGATGCTGAGTGGTCACCTGAATGAACACTCCATGACAGTCCCCCCTCACTCAGTTCTAACAGACGACTTTTCTAAACTTTCTCCTCAGATCCCTTTTTTTGAAGAAATGTGTAAAGGCATTAAAGCTGGTGACACCTGTGAGAAGCTGGTGGGATATTCTGCTGTATATAGAGTCTGTTTTGGAATGGCTTGTTTCTTCTTTATCTTCTGTCTACTGACCTTGAAAATCGACAATAGCAAAAGTTGTAGAGCTCGTATTCACAATGGGTAAGTATTTTAGTCTTCTTGGGAATTGCTTTCTCCTTTCTTGTGTTCCAGACGGTATTCCAGGATCCCTTCTATCCACCGGACACTGTGACTACTCTTCTTCTAGTTGAAATAGTTGATTTAGGGGAAGATGGAACTGATACTTGTTATCCACATGGTTGCCTAAAAGCTAGAATCTTATTTTAACACCTGGCACCATGATGTGAAATTTAGTCAAGACAAAGAGTTTATTTCTTGTTCCAAGACCTTTTCCCAGGTCATTTCCACCCCTGCAATGAAATGGTGTTTTGCACAATTGGAGGCTGCACTGAGTCTGTGTAATTATGGGAAAAGGTATTCTTCAAGTCACTCAATTACTTCCCCTCGATTAGGAGAGAACATTGGCCAATGGCAGAATCATGGACTCACATGCCCACTTTCTAAGAAGTCCTTTGTCCTTGTTGAATGTCATTTAAATACATTTCCTCTTTTTTCCCCCCGCCTTCTAGCTTTTGGTTCTTTAAACTTCTGCTGCTGGGGGCCATGTGCTCAGGAGCTTTCTTCATTCCAGATCAGGACACCTTTCTGAACGGTACTAATGGGGTATTTTGGGTACCTGTTTATTTTGTTTTTATCCATTTTGTCAAATTGCTCAGAATCACTGTCCAAAGTACCTTTGATAGTTTGAGTTACTGATTTTCTTTTGGCTTCAGAAGAAATTCCTGTCTTACCTGCCCATACTTTCTCCGCCATTGCCTCTCTACCTCCCCTCTCCAAAGAGGACTTTGATACTCTGCTAGCCTGGGTGAGACCTTGTTCTTTCCAAGCACTGCACAGAAAACCCAGCAACAGGGAGCGCAGTGTCTACTACAGCGATAGTGGGACAGGAAAAGCATCCTTCAGTCTGGTTTTAAACTTACCTTATGTGAAGCTCTGTAACATTGAATTATATTCTTTATTGCTAGAACCTGCTACAATTCATTAATATGAAGCCTTTAATCATAGCTGAAACAGGGAGTCCTTTTTCATATGAGTGAAGGGAAAAACCTGAATTTCACTGGTTCAGGCATTTTGTTCAACCCAAATGGATTCACTTTCCCAAGTAAGGTACTAAAAACATTTAGGCCAGGAGTGGTGGCTCTCACCTGTAATCTCAGCATTTTGGAGGCTGAGGCGCATGGATCACTTGAGGCCGGGAGTTTGAGACCAACCTGACCAACAGGGAGAAACCTTGTTTCTACTAAAAATATAAAAATTAACTGGTTGTGGTGGTCTGTGCCTGTAATCTCAGCTACTCTGGAGGCTGAGACACGAGAATTGCCTGAACCCAGAAGGTGGAGGTTGCAGTGAGCTGAGATTGCACCACTGCACTCCAACTTGGGCGACAGAGTGGGACTTTGTCTCAAAAACTAAACAAAACCCCTAGATTGTATCAGTTTATAAGGAACAGCCATAATCTTTCATATAGCTATGTGTCAGAGCCTACCTAGTTATTTAGGGTCATATTTGTTTTTCATATACTCCCTAAGTCTTGCTTTTACCTAAAATGATGTTAAAAGTTTTCAGATTTTCCACAGAGATCCTTTTATGTATTAGAATGTATATTTAGAGGGAGAAGAGACCTAGAAACCCTCTGGTCCAGCTCAGTCTTTTTTCTTTTGGAGACAGAGTCTTGCTCTGTCGCCCAGGCTGGAGTGCAGTGGTGTCATCTCGACTCACTGCAACCTCTACCACCCAGGTTCAAGCGATTCTTGAATCCTGCCTTAGCCTCCTGAGTAGCTGAGATTACAGGTGCCTGCCACCATGCCTGGCAAATTTTTTTTTTTTTTTTTTTTTTAGTAGAGACAGGGTTTCGCCATGTTGGCCAGGCTGGTTTTGAACTCCTGCCCTCAAGTGATCCGCTCACCTTAGCTTCCCAAAGTGCTAGGATTTCAGGCGTGAGCCACTGCACCCAGCTCTAGCTCAGTGATTTTTACGGACAAGCTAGAAACCACGTGATGTGGTTTAGTCACGGTAACGGCATCTTTGTGGCAGAGCTAGAAGTAGAGCCAAGTTCTTGTCCCCCTGTCTGAAGCTTGTTTCCTTACTGGTCGTTGTTGACTTTTTACCCAATAAAATTTGAACCTTTGATTTTTCTGGCAATATATGTTTGATTTTAAGTTGTGGTTCATTGTGGATTTTGTGAATTAGGGCATCTGTTAGGATACCTGGCAGATGTAGCATGGAGGTTAAGCATGGATACTTCAGGGTCAGACTGCCTGTGTTCAGATCCCAACTATGCCATTTACTTACTGAGATGCTGTCAACCTACATTGATTCTCAATTTTTCTCTTCTGTAAAGTGGGTGACATTTATGATAGTAATCCATGTCTTATATGGTTGTGTGGGAATTAAGTGTGTTAGGTACACTTATCATCTAGTAAAAATCATCTGTGGTTATTCTCTTTTTAGTGAAATACAAGGAAATGTTGCCTCATTGTGTTCTTCATGGTCTTTTGCAGCCTGGCGCTACGTGGGAGCCATCGGAGGCTTCCTCTTTATCGGCATCCAGCTCCTCCTGCTTGTGGAATTTGCACATAAGTGGAACAAGAACTGGTGTGTGTGCCTTTGTGGAAAGCTTCCTATTGACACACAGAAAGTGCCCAGTTTTGATAAAGGCTGTACTCAATTGCATCGCTAGGGATTTGCATCTTTGTTTACACCAAATATAATGTTTGCTGTCACTTTCCCTTTCTGCCTGCTTTTTTTTGTACCTCTTCATTTACTTCTCTCCTTCATTTACTTCTCACTTTTTGACCCCCTGCCCCTACTCCCTCATTTGGGCTCTGAGTCAACCAGTGGTATGAATTAACCACACTCAACCCCCTACTCGTACCTGTCAGTCTCAGGTTTTGGAGGTGGCTAAAAAGTTGGGTAGCCTTCCTCATAGTCTCCCATCTTCATGAAATTTAAAACAAAATTAAAAAGTGAACACAAAACTCAAACTTTGGAGCTGGAGATTCATCTGCAGAGTATGAGATGGAATAGTTGCACTCCTTTAAAAAAATTTTTGGACCAGCCATGGTGGCTTGTGCCTGTACTTCCAGAACTTTCAGGAGGGCAAAGCGGGAGGATTACTTGAGCCCAGGAGTTTGAGACCAGCATGGGCAACATACTAAGACCTTTTGACTATGAAAAATTAGCCGGGCATGGTAGCACGTGCCTATAATCCCAGCTGCTTGGGAGGCTGAGGTGGGAGGATTGCTTGAGTCTGGTAGGTCAAGGGTTTGGTGAGCTGAGGTCACACAACTGCACCCCACCCCGAGTAACAGATCAAGACCCTGTCTCAACAAAAAAGAGTTTTGTTTGTTTGTTTGTTTCTTTTCGTCTTCCCAAGAGGGGAAAAAGGACTTCTTCATTAGGGAGATATGTTGTCCTACCTTAGAAAGCCATCCTGTCTTTGAAAAAGGTAGACTCTTTCTAAGTGCCTTGGAAATTGAATTCATATCCTGGGCCAAGTGGGAGAGGCCCAGCTACTAATAGCTAGTTTTATTTCTTGCTAAGCCACATTGAGAAAATGACAACTTGAGAAGGGTCCAGCCCTTGAGTTCTAAGGCCAAATTGACCCACTTTGTGATTCTGGACAAAGCACTTAACTGCTTTCCACCTAACTTTCTTTACTTATAAAATATGAATGAAAACAACTACCTATTGTACCCAATAAGGCTTTTGTTATTTTGCATATTTTATAGGAGTTATTTTATTATACTGAAATTTTAAAAATCGTGCCATGTGAACGTGAAGTTTGTTTTTACCATGGACAAAACAAAATGTACTGTCCAAATACTCTGAATATTTTTTATTCTGAATATGCCGTTCAACTTGGTAGTTGTTGTTTTCTTTTGGTTGTAAGGATCAATTCATGAGGTACAGCTGTTGCTAGGGGGATACATAAGTGGGAAGATAGAGTTAGTCATTTTACTCTTTGGTAAATACTGGATTAAGCATGGCCAAATATGAACAATTTTGAAATGGTTTGCAGAACACTGCATAGTCATACAGGTAGCCCTGCAGATATGCGTGGCTATGTTTTAAGGTCCTGATCCCTATGCTTATACAGATTTCTGGGTTTGAGTTGTGCTGTTGTGTAAGTTATTGTACAGGGTATGCATTTTGAGTTATCTGTGAGATCCAGTAATTTATGTTATGGTGTCCACTGGATCTTGTTTCGAGGTAGCAGAGTTTTCTTAAAGATGAGCCAAATGTGTGACTGTAATTGTACGGGACCCTGTTTTCTCAGTAGTCCAGAAGAAATACAAGAAGTTGGAATTGAATTTTAATTGATTAAATATCACTCTTTCCATGATTATTCTGAATGTGCTTTCAATTGGAATTTTTTATTAGAAAATAAATTCATCATCCTAAAATTTTCACAAGTGTACTTCAAATAGGGAACTTCCTGGTAAAACAATAGCAGTTTTCATCCTTAGTACCTGATCTGCCCATTAAATGGTAAGTCCCCGTGAGAACACTTGTGCTTCTTCACTCTGACTTCAATGTTTTGATTGATTCTGAATCCATTTGCTAGGACTAATTATTGATGCCAAGTTTTAGCATGCAGTTTGGAAAAGTTTGGTTGCTTTAAAAACTTTCAGAAACTCAGTTAGAATTACTTAAAAGCTCTGCAGCAAATAGTGTTGCTGTTATCCAAGCTTTGAGGCCTATATGCCAACAAAAATCCCTGTTGTCAATTTGTTTATAGTTGTTTGTCTAAAATTAGAAATGAGCTAGAAAGCTCACTATTTTCCTTTAAATTTGGTAGTTTTTTGCTGTTTTTTTAACAGAATCTTGCTTATAAGAATGTAGAAAACGTGCTCATGGCTCTTGATGGAACACTAAAGTACCTTTTCTTCCCTTTTTCATTTATCTCTTTGTAAACATCTTGAGAAGGAGATGATCTTAAAAACAGTTGGCTAGAAAGGCCATGACCAAGAAACCAGGAGATGCAGACTTCGTTCCCCTTTCTTTTCTTTTTCCTTTTTTTTTGTTTTTGAGATGGGATCTCACCTTTGTCATCCAGGCTGGAGTGCAGTTGTGTGATGCTCACTGCAGCTTCAGTTTCCCAGGCTTAAGTAATTGTCCCACCTCAGCCCCCCAAGCAGCTGGGACTACAGGCACGTGGCACCACACTTGGCTAATTTATTTTCTTCCTTCCTTCCTTCCTTCCTTCCGTCCGTCCGTCCTTCCTTCCTTCCTTCCTTCCTTCCTTCCTTCCTTCCTTCCTTCCTTCCTTCCCTCCTTCCTTCTTCCTCCTTCCTTCCTTCCTTCTTTGCTTCTTTCCTTCTTTTTCTTACTTTCTTCTTTCTTTCCTTTTTCTTTCGTAGGGATGGGGTTTCGCTATGTTGCCCAGGCTGATCTTGAAGTCCTGAGATGAAGAGATCCTTCTACCTTGGCCTCCCAAAGTGCTGGGATGGCATTGTGTTCCGCTTCAGTGCCCCTTTTATGTTTGCTGTTTCACTATAGGGCACATCAGTTGGCCCCTCTGACTTCAGTTTTCACACTTAAATAATCTGTTTGAACTAACTGGTGTGTTCTTTTTTCCTTTTTAGCTCAAGTTTTGTGGTTTGCAGTGCCAATTCTCTATCAGAATTGAAACAAAGGGCTTTAGGTGCCAAGTGTAAAGACTTTCTTTGGATTTTTAGTGTGATGGGAGAGCACCAGAGGGCCTTAGAAAGGAAAGAATATAATCTGTTTTAAGTCATGACAGGTGAGAAGGAGTCAGAGGTGCAAATAAGGAGGTCAGGGGGAGACAATCCAGGTGAAGGAGGCATAGTCTGGAATTAAGTGGTAGCAGGAGCTGGATCCTCCTGTTCTGAAGCTGGCTCTGGGTGGAGGTGGGTGGGGCAGGGGAGAGAAGCAAGAGGCTTCCAGAGTGACTGCAGTTCTTCTTTTCATCTCCCTCCCTCCCTCCCTCCCTCCCTTCCTTCCTTCCTTCTTTCCTTCTTCCCTTCCTTCCTTTTTCCTTCTTTCCCTTCCCCTCCCCTCCCCCTCCCCCTCCCCCTTTCTCCAACAATAGGAAGATGGAATTGCGTTTTCTGAGGTTGGAATGATTGCACAATAGCAGGTTTGGGGGATGGAGGAATGGGGGTGTGAATATCAGGAAGTAGCCTCAGCCTGGATGTGCTGAGTTTGAAATGCCAGTTAGACCTTCGAGTGGAGACATTAAATGAGCAACTGGATAATATAAGTGAAGTTCAGGGGAAAGGTTAGGGTTGAAGACTTAATTTTGGGACAAACTGTAAACATAAATTAAGAAAGTCCTTCGTATTCTAATAACATAACTGAAAAGACTAGTGAAGAAAAGCGTTGGTCCTCTCCCACCCACAAGCTAGTCAGCAGTGTTTACCTTTTATACATAATTTATGCTGTCTCCCCATCATTGATTATTATTTGCTCTTGTTTTTGTTTTTTTTTTCCCTTTGTAAAATCCCATTTTCTCTCATTTCCTTTGTGTGCCTTTTATGTTAGAATAATTCTGAGGTCATTGGAATGTCTTGTCTGGCAGAGTTTCAGGAATATGACGGTCATTATCATTTTGGCCTTTCCTCCCTATTTTCTTTGTTTCTGGCTGCAGGAACTTTTTCGTCATTAAAACATTTTAGCTGCGTTGCTTGAACACTTTCCGGTTTTGTGAGGGCAAAAAGCAAGTTGCCTTTTCTGTGAGGTTTGGGAGAATATGGTTACAAAGAACATTTAATCATAAGGCAGATGACAATGATTCATTCAATTCATTCTCCCTGTTCTCCTGTCCTCTTCATTTAGCAGTTATAGATACTTTTCTTTGTTCTAAACAATTTCTTTTTGTGTGTATGAGATAGGGTCTTGCTCTGTTGCCCAGGCTGGAGTGCAGTGGCATGATCTGGGCTCACTGCAACCTTTGCCTCTGGGGTCAAAGCGATTCAGCCACCCAAGTAGCTGGGATTACAGGCATGTACCACCATGCCTGGCTAATTTTTGTATTTTTGGTGGAGACAGGGTTTCACCCTGTTGGCCAGGCTGGTCTCAAACCGCTAGCCTCATGTGATCTGCCCGCCTTGACCTCCCAAAGTGCTGGGATTACAGGTGTAAGCCACCAAGCCCAGCCTTGTTCTGAACAATTTCTATAGATTTAAATCACCACTTATTTCTCTTATTTTTTATTAATAGAGACAGAATCTTGCTCTCGTTGCCCAGGCTGGAGTGCAGCGGCATAATCTTGGCTCACTGCAACCTCCACCTCCAGAGCTTAAGTGATTCTCTTGCCCCAGCCTGCCAAGTAGCTGGGATAACAAGTGTCCACCACTGTGCCTGACTAGTTTCTGTGTTTTGAGTAGAGACGGATTCACCGTCTTGGTCAGGCTGGTCTTGAACTCCTTACCTCAGGTGATCTGCCTGCCTCGGCCTCCCAAATGTTGGGAGTACAGGCATGAGCCACTGCATCCAGCTCATTTAGTTAGTTTTTTAAATTGTACACCCCATTACTCTTTTCCTGACTTATTTTATTCTCCTTTTTTTTTAATTGGCATGTTAAAATTGCACGTATTTATAGGGTACATTTTGATGTTTTGATACATATATGTCATGTAGTAATCAAATCAAGTCAGTTGGCTATTCATTACCTCGTGGATTTATCATCTTTTTCTTTCTTCCCTTTTTTTTTTCTCTCTGTTTTTAAAGAGACAGGGTCTCACTCTGTGGCATAGTCATACCTCACTGCAGCCTTGAACTCCTAGGCTTGAGACATCCTCCTGCCTCAGCCTCCCAAAAAGCTGGCGAATTAGCATGCCCTGCTAATTTTTTGTGTTTTTTGTTTTGGTTTGGTTTTTGGTTGTTGTAGATGGGTCTTGCTGTGTTGACCAGGCTGTATCATTTCTTTGTGTTGAGAACCTTCAAAAGCCTCTCCTAGCTGTCTTATAATATACAATACCTTACTGCTAACCATCATCACCCTACCATGTAACTGATCACCAGAACTTATTCCTATCTAACTTTTTTTAATGTCAAATTTTTCTTCACTATTTTAGAGAAGCAGTGCAGTTACAGGTCCTCTTCTTTAGTACAGGGAATAAAGAGCTGAAGTCAGCCATTCTGGCTCTGAGTAAAGCTGATCCTCTTTTCTCCCTAAGAAGAAGCCATCCACAAGAGCTGCTGGCAACACTTTGTTTTTAAAAGTTTATTATTGGCTGGACGTGGTGGCTCACGCCTGTAATCCCAGCACTTTGGGAGGCCAAGGTGGGTGGATCACGAGGTCAAGAGATCGAGACCATCCTGGCCAACAGTGAAACCCCGTCTCTACTAAAAATACAAAAACATTAGCCAGGTGTGATGACACACACCTGTGGTCCCAGCTACTTGGGAGGCTGAGGCAGGAGAATTGCTTGAACCCAGGAGGTGGAGGTTGCAGTGACCCGAGATTGCGCCACTGCGCTCCAGCCTGGTGACAAAGCAAGACTCCGTCTCAAAAAAAAAAAAAAAAAAAAAGTTTATTATTATTTAAAAAAATTTAAACAGGGTCTCCCTCTTGCCCAGGCTGGAATGCGGTAGTACAATCATGGCTCATAGCAGCCTTCAACCCCCCGGGCTCAGGTGATCCCCCCACCTTAGTCTCCCAAGTGGCTGGGACTATAAGTATGTGCCACCACACCCAGCTAAGTTTTCTTTTTTTTTGTAGAGATGAGGTTTTGCCGTGTTGCCCAGGCTGGTCTTGAACTCCTAGCCTCAAGAGATCCGCCCGCCTGGGCCTCCCAAAGTGCCGGGATTATAGGTGTGAGCCACCTCACCCGGCAGTACTTTCCAGTAGAGACTATGCCCGTCAGGGTTCCATGTTTATGGAGAAAACTTGGAGAAGCCCCGTGAAGAGCCACTTTTTCATCCTGCCAAAAACTGATACAGGGTGGTCCACAGTCAAAATGGAGAAGCCAGAATAAAGTCTGTAGGTAGCTAAAGGAAATAAAGCATTTCAGGACTACTCAAACTCATTCTACCAAAAGGAGAGTTAAGCCTGGAGACAGTCATGTGACACTGCTGCCCCCCACCCCCCTGTAGATAGCTGTGACTTCCCAACCTTGTGTCAAAGCGCTAGACATTAGCTAGACCTCTGTAGAAGGCAGAAGGCCTCATGCATCCCGGATGTCTACCCTCAAATTGCTCCTAAGTAAATTCTCTGCTGGCCCCTTAACCTTTCAAGCTGTGTATCTTCCCATAAAAAGGACATGTTAACTGTAACTTTAGGTCTGTGATCTAAGTCTAGCTCCCTGTCCATGGACTTGCAGTCTGTTACATTTCACACTGACAATGCCCATTGCAAGCATATCTTCCCAGGTGCAGAACAAAGACAGGAGAGCAGTCATTCCTCTGCCTACCTTGACACTACATAATTAACTCTTCCTTCACTCCCTTTTAAAATGTTTATCATATCTCTTGTATAGCAGAGTTTATTGGGCGCAAATTAAAATCTCAGGAGAATGTCAGGTTTGTCTCACCACCTGCCCGCCTTTTCATGCATGCCTTTTCCCCTTTAAATAAATGGGTAAACCTGAGCCTTCTGCAACCTCCTTAGGACCACTGTCCACAAAGGATTCTGTGACTTGTGTGTTTTTGGGTGTGCCCTCAGACCTCTGGCTCAGTAAACCTCGACTGACTGAGACTCTTGCCTTAGTCTCTCATTTGGGTTGACATTATTCATTTTAATTGATGAATACATTTGTGGCAGAAAGGGGAATTCTCTCAGTGTTGAGAGAAAATTCTAAGCTTGAGCCAAGAAGTTTCCATATTTACCAGAACCTTCTAGCATTGATAGAGCATAATCCCTGCTAAAACAATGTGTCTTCTGGGCAGCTGGGTGGCAGTGCCTGTGGCCTGATGGCATTAGTCACTGCCTGAGGGATGGTGAATGTGATCAGAGAATGGTGGGCTTCATTGACTTGTCCTCTCTTCCTTCCCTCTTACCTACTTCCCGGAGAAACAGGACAGCAGGCACGGCCAGTAACAAGCTCTGGTACGCCTCGCTGGCCCTGGTGACGCTCATCATGTATTCTGTTGCCACTGGAGGCTTGGTTTCGATGGCAGTGTTTTACACACAGAAAGATGGCTGCATGGAGAACAAAATTCTGCTGGGAGTGAACGGAGGCCTGTGCCTGCTTATTTCATTGGTAGCCATCTCGCCCTGTGTCCAAAATCGTAAGCATGTTTTTTTCCATTCTTCCTTATTTATATGTTTCCTAAGTGTCTTTGAGCAAAGCCAGTGGGTTGTTTTTTTCTCTTTTTGGAAACTAGTGTATTCCTTAACTTACTGTGGATATGTCAATAGTAGGCAAGGTGGGACTCCGGTCTCTTCATATCTCACACTCGAGCTGTGATAGCCAAGCATTTCTCATGTTAGAAAGACCTGAACTTAACGAAGTCAGTGAATAGGAGGATAACACCTTTGCTAAATAATGTACCACAAGAATCGTTTAAACACGAAATGCCTTCTGTGTATATCAAGCTCAGTTGTTTATGAGCTTGCCTACAGTCTCTGTCTAAAAGTTGAATGAGAGCGCCGCGGAAGTTTTACAACTCTGTGTAAAAGTTGAATTAGCCAGGCATGGTGGCGGGCACCTGTAATCCCAGCTACTTGGGAGGCTGAGGCAGGAGAATCGCTTGAGCTCGGGAGGCGGAAGTTGCAGTGAGCCGAGATTGCACCACTGTACTCCAGCCTGGGCAACAAGAGCGAGACTCTGTTTAAAAAAAAAAAAAAAAACCTAAATGAAAAGATTCAAGTGCTTTGTAGTTTATATAAATATTAATTAAAATTTTTTTTATTTTCTTTATTAAAAATCTGGGGCCATCCTTCACTCAAGGCTGTGGACAGTGTGGGCTGGCCTATGTGCTAACCTTCCTCAGACCCATGTTCTTCCTCAGTGAAGTCAGTGGAAACATGTGAGCCTGTCCCTGCTCATGGTCGTTTCAAAGCTGGAAGGGACAGTGGGATTTGAAAGTGCTTTATGAAGTATAAGTGTGAATTGTCATTTATAAACTACTCTTGATTTCTTAAACCAGGATAGTGTCTTTGGGCTTACAGAGTGAGATGTCCCTGGTCTGATGTTTTCTGTGGGCATCGGACCCTACATGTGATGACAATGCACATGACATTCAGGTTCTAGGTAGGAAAAGGTAGCCAATAAATTTACAGCCCCCTTGAATCCTTTCTAAAATAATGCTTTAAAAGGCAACTAGTGGCCAGGCACGGTGGTTCATGCCTGTAATCCCAGCACTTTGGGAGGCCGAGGTAGGCGGATCGTTTGAGTTCAGGAGTTCAAGAGCAGCCTGGCCAACATGGTGAAACCCCGTCTCTACTAAAAATGCCAAAAAATATTAGCCAATTGTGGTGGTGCACGTCTGTAGTCCCAGCTACTCGGGAGGCTGAGGCAGGAGAACCTGGGAGGTGGAGGTTGCAGTGAGCAGAGATCGCACCATTGCACTCCAGCTTGGGTGACAGAGTGAGACTTTGTCTCAAAAAACAAAAAGGGGGGCAACTAGTAGTAGCAAATAATTTTTCTCTGCTAAAAATTTGAAGTTCGTTATTGAAATTGAGAGTATTATTCTCTAGTCCCTTTAATTGATCAGTTAAGAGTTCCCAGAACAATATGATATTCAGATTAACATCTTTGGGTTAAATCCTACCTTTTGAAATAGGAGTAACATTTTGAAATATTTGGTTTAATATCATTAAGTGCTAAGGAAAATCTTATTCCCATGCCAAAGAGCAACATTATAACAGGGTCTATTTTATACCTTTATTGATAATTAGAATTTAATAATGATAATTTTGGAAACAAATTTGACCAAAGGGAAGACTGAGTAAAACTGCATCCTTTTATATTGGTAAGTGGTCAAAAATTTTGCAGAGGAAAAAAAAAAGAGAGAGCGATCCCTTATCACATCCTGGTTACTCTGAAGGATCTGGACCCTTAGTTTACTTGAAATATTATCACTTTCAAAAAAATAACTAATGGCTTGTGAAGTTTCAGAGAAAAAGGGACACTTATACACTGTTGGTGGGAGTGTAAATTAGTTCAACCATAATGGAAAGCAGTGTGGCAATTCCTCAAGACCTAAAAACAGAACTTTCATTAGGCCCAGCAATCTCATTACTGGCTGTATACCCAAAGGAGTATAAATGTTTCTCTTATAAAGACACAGGCACACGTATGTTCATTGCAACACTATTCACAATAGCAAAGACATGGAATCAACCTAAATGCCCATCAGTGGTAGACTGAATAAAGAAAATGTGGTACATATACACTATGGAATACTATGTAGCCATAGAAAGGGAAGAGATTATGTCCTTTGCAGGAATGTGGATGGAGCCTGGAGGCCATTATCCTTAGCAAACTAACAAAGGAACAGAAAACCAAATACCACATGTTCTTGCTTAAAAGTGGGAGCTAAATGAGAACATATGGATACATAGAGGAGAACAACATACATTGGGGCCTGTCAGAGGGTGGAGGGTGGGAGGAAGGAGAGGATCAAGAAAGATAACTAATGGGCACTAGGCTTAATACCTGGGTGACAAAATAATCTGTATGACACACTGCCGTGACAAGTTTATCTTTACAACAAACTTGCACGTATACCCCCAAACCTAAAATAAAAGTTAAAAATAAAGATAACCTTAAAGCCCTTCTCCCAATGAATGCTGAGCCCCATAGTCTTCCTCTTTAGCCAAGAGCGGTACTTGTATTCTGTTCCCAAAAGCTTTTTGTCCATTGACAGGTAAGAGCTTTTTATCCTGTCATAGTCCGTAGCATGTGATGACCTTGTAGGATCCAGAATACATCCCGTCAAACCTGGTTTCTCACTTACTTCCCTCCCCAACAAAGCTATGTGGCTTTATCGACAATGATGGTAATTTTGTTTCTGATCTTGTGATTTAAGAACTAATGTTATAAACCCACGGAGACTAGCTAGTATATTTAAGTATAGCCATAGGCTTGATAAAATATTGGTAGAGAACTTGGCAGAACCTGACATCTTTAAAATAGCAATGTTCAACTCAGTGTATAGCTGTCTCCCCCTTACTATCTTTTTGGTTTTATCTGAGAAACATATTACTTTTTTTTCTCTTTTCTTTCTTTTAAAGGTAGATGCTCAAGTTTGAGGACTGTCATGGGGACTGTCGGGTTTTTTTTTTTTTAGGCATATGTTTTCTTTTTCTTCAAATTAAAACCTGTTGTCTGTCTGTCTCTTGTCATTTTTCAGGACAGCCACACTCGGGGCTCCTACAATCAGGGGTCATAAGCTGCTATGTCACCTACCTCACCTTCTCAGCTCTGTCCAGCAAACCTGCAGAAGTAGGTAAGCCAGCCTGTTAGGGGGCTAGTGTTTGCAGCGTATTTTCATTCATGGAGGAATGAGCTATTGTTTACATGTGGGAGAGGCCATGGAGATAGAGAGCATGAGGATGGTTACCAGAGGCTGAGAGAGGTTCAGGGGAGGTTTGGGAGGAGGTTGGGACGGTTAATAGGTACCAAAAAAAAATTAAAAAGAATGAATAAGACCTAGTATTTGATAGCACAACAGGATAACTATAGTCAAATTTAATTGTACATTTAAAAATAACTGAAAGAGTATAATTGGATTGTTTGTAATGCAAAGGATAAATGCATGATGGGATGGATACTCCATTTTTCATGATGTTATTGTTACGTATTTCATGCCTGTATTAAAACATCTTGTGTACCCCTTAAATACATACACCTGCTATCCACAAAAATTACTTTAAGAAATAAAAATAAATATTAGAAATGTACTAAATCACAGTAGAGAGATGATCTAGACTTTTTCATGAAAAAAAGTCTTTGAGCTATGAAGAGGAAAATTCCCTTTTTCGATTCTTCCTGGTGTGTGGCACAGACAGGAGCAAAGGTTTGGCTGTGGAGTTTGCTTTTAGGCCTAAATAACCTCTTAATTTAGTTGGTTATTTCTTTTTTTTTTCCTGACTGTAGTAGTGGAACAGAGAGAGTGGAAAGAACGTGGGGGAGTGGAGTGCGGGGAGCAGGATCTGAGCCCAGATCCATGATTTACTGGCTATGTGACCTCGGACCACTCGTCTTAAATGACATTTATTTACAGAGACAACAGAATATAGTGATTAGAGCGTGAACTTTGAAGTCGGACTGCCTGGTTTATAGACTGATCCTGCCACTTAAGTAACTTGCAGAAACTTGCTTACCTCTCTGTTACTTTTGTGATATATAAATGTAAATACACGCACATACATACATACATACACATGAGCATATATAAATATATGATTGGGTATATTTGAGCTTATGTAAGTCAAATAAATGTAGTCTCTAAGAAAATTGAAGTTATTTCCTCTTTTAAATTTGGAAAGCTAGTGCAATGATAATTTTGAAGGTGTTAGCATATATACATACTATATATGGGCTTGGCCTTATCGCTATTGATAGTGAAAAGTAATGTTAAGTGGAGGTCTTAACAGTAAGTATTGCCTGTCCTGGATTTTATTTTATATTATTTTTAATACTCTATCTTGACTCTGTAAGTTTACTTAAATTTAGTCTCTTTAAGGCCTTCTTTTATGACTGTTTATGTATTAATTTCTGGTTTTAACTTAATGGGATTTTTATTTACAACATTTTTTAAATGGCAGGTATCCCTTAAAAACAGAAAAAAAGGCTGAGCGCTCATGCCTGTAATCTAGGCACCTTGAGAGGCTGAGGCAGGAAGACTGTTTCAGGCCAGGAGCCGAGACCAGCCTTGGCAACATAGAATTTCTACCAAAAAAAAAAAAAGTTATTTTAAATTTCCAAATGCTCTTTTTAAAAATTAGCCCAAGAATAAAGATTCGCGAAACCACAGCATACACAGGGAAGTTTATAGCATTAAGTGCCTACATCAGAAAAGCAGAAAGATCACAAATTAACAGTGTAACGTTGTACCTGGAACTAGAAAAGCAAGAAGAATCCAAACCCAAACCAACCAATTGTCTTGTTTGTTGATTATATGATTCTATAGCTAGCAGAACAAAAGAAATAACAAAGATTGGCCAGGCACGGTGGCTCACACCTGTAATCCCAGCACCTTGGGAGGCCAAGGCAGGTAGATCATGAGGTCAAGAGATCAACCATCCTGGCCAACATGGTGAAACCCTGTCTCTATTAAAAACACAAAACTTAGCTGGGCATGGTAGCACATGCCTGTAATCCCTCCTCAGCTACTCAGGAGGCTGAGACAGGACAATCGCTTGAACCGGGGAGTTGGTGGCTAAGAGTGAGCCAAAATCACACCACTGCACTCCAGCCTGGCAACAGAGCAAGACTCTGTCTCAAAAATAAAAAAAAAAAATTACAAAGATCAGGGCTGCGTGAGGTGGCTCATGCCTGTAATCCCAGCACTTTGGGAGGCTGAGGCAGGCAGATCTCTGGAGCCCAGGAGTTTGAGACCAGCCTGGGCAACATGACAAAACCTTGTCTCTACAAAAAATACAAAAAATTAACCAGGCATAGTGGCGCATGTCTGTAGTCCCAACTACTCTGAAAGCTGAGGTGGGAGGGTCACTGGAGCCCCAGAGTTTGAGGCTGCAGTGAGCTATAAGCTCTGATTGCACAACTGTACTCTACCCAGGGCAACAGAGAGGGACTTTGTCTCCAAAAAAAAAAAAAAAGCCATCGGGAACTAAATGAAATGAAGACTGCCCTTCCCACCCCGAAACAAACCCCTGTGAGAAAAATACAGAGGATCAACAAAACAAAACAAAAGTTGGTTTGTTGAAAAGATAAACAAAAGTGATAAGGTCCTAGGCTAACCAAGAAGAGAGAGGATCAAATCAACAAAATGAGAAATGAAAAAGGAAAAAAATCACAATAATGCCACAAAAGCACAAAAGATCATTACAGACTATTATGAACAACCGTATACTTAACAAACTAGAAAACCTAAAGGAAGTGGATACATTTCTGGAAAGCAAGAAGGAATAGAAATCCTAAACAGGCCAATACTGAGTAGTGATATTGAATCAGTGATTTAAAAAAATCTTCCAGTAAGAAAAAACCCAGGACCAGATGGAGTCATAGCCAAATCCTACCAAACATAAAAGGGAGAATGAATACCAGTCCTCCTGAAATTGTGCCAAAAAATGGAAGAGGAGAGAATTCTCCCTGACTCATTATACAAGGCCAGTATCACCCTGATAACCAAAAGCAGACAAGGACACAAGAAAAAAGAAAATTACAGACCAATACCTCTGATGAACATAGATAGCAAAATCTTCAACAAAATACTAGCAAACAGAATGCAGTAGTACATCGAAAGATAGTAACACCATGATCAAGTGGGTGTTATACCATAGATGCAAGATTGGTTCAACATATGCAAATCAATAAATATGATACATTATGTGTTACATATTACATAAACAGAATTAAGGATAAAAACCATATGCTCATTTCAATAGATGCTGAAAAAGCATTTGTTAAAACTCTGCATCTCTTCATGGTAAAAAAAAAAAAACCTCAATAAACTAGGAATTTAACTTAAAATAGTAAATAGAAAGAATACAGCTTAAAATAATAAAGGTCATATATGACAGACCCACAGCCAACATCATACTGAGTGGGGGAAAATGGGAAACATTCCTTTTGAGAACTGGACCAAGACAAGGGTGCCTGCTTTCACCACGCTTAGTCACCATAGTACTAGAAGTCCTAGTCAGGGCAGTCAGGCAAGATGAAGAAATAAAAGGCATCCAAATTGGAAAACAGGAAGTCAAATTGTCTTGTTTGTTGATGATTTGATTCTATAGCTAGAAAACCTGAAAGGTTCCACCAAAACATGCTTAGATTGAGTAATGAATTCAGTAATAATGCAGTATACAAAATCAACATACAAAAATTGAGTAGTGTTTTGGCTGAGTGCATTGGCTCATGCCTATAATCCCAGCACTTTGGGAGGGCAAGATGAGTGGATCATTTGAGGTCAGAAGTTCGAGATCAGCTTGGCCAACATGGTGAGACCTCATCTCTCAAAATTACAAAAATTAGCCAGGTATGGTGGTGCCCATGTCTGTAATCCCAACTAGGAGGCCGAGACAGGAGAATCACTTGAACCCAGGAGGCGGAGGTTGCAGTGAGCCGAGATCATGCCATTGTACTCAGCCTTGGTGACAGCAAGACTCTGCCTCAGAAAAAAAAATTAGTCGTGTTTCTATATACTAATAATCATCTAGTGGAGAACCAAATCAAGAAGGCAGTCCCATTTACAGTAGCTACAAAAAGTAAAATAACTAGGAATAAATTTAACGAAGGAGGTAAAAGATCTTTACAATGAAAACTACAAAACACTGATGAAAAAAATGAAAGGGAGGGGCCATGTGTAGTGGCACATGCCTGTGGTCCTAGTACTTCGGGAGGCCAAGGTGGGAGGATGGCTTGAGGCCAGGAATTTGAGACCAGCCTGAGCAACATAGCAAAACCCCGTCTCTACAAAAAATTTACAAATTAGCTGGGTGTGGTGGCATGCACCTGTAGTTCTAGCTATTTATGGGGTTGAGGTGGAAGGATCACCTGAGCCCAGGAGTTTGAGGTTACAGTAAGCTATGATCAGGCCACTGTACTCCAGACTGGGCGACAGAGCAAGACCATGTCTCAAAAACAAAGAGGGGAGGGGTATGCAAGCAAATGGAAAGACATCCCCTGCTCATGGATCACAATAATCGATATTATTAAAATGACCATATTGCCTAAAGCAGTCTTACAGATTCAGTGCTATCCCTATCAAAATACCAATGATATTTTTCACAGAAAAAGAATAAACAATTCTAAAATATGTATGGAGACAACAGAGCCAGAATAGCTAAAGCAATTCTAAGCAAAAAGAGCAAAGCTTGGAGGAATCATACTTCAAAGTTGGAGGAATCCTGACTTCAAATTATGCTACAAAGTACAGTAAGCAAAACAGCATGGTATTTGTATAAGAATAGATCCATGGAACAGAATAGAGAACCCAAAAGTAAAACCACATATTTATGGCCATCTGTTCATGACAAAAATACAACAGTGAGGAAAGGATATCCTTTTCAATAAGTGGTCCTGAAAAATTTGGATTTCTATATGCTAAAGAATAAAACTGAACCCCTATTGAACCCATGTCTCTCATCACATACAAAAATCAACACAAGGTAGGTTAAAGACTTACATGTAAGGCCTGCAACTATAAAAATACTAGAAGAAAACCTAGGAAAACCCTTCTGGACATTGCTGTAGGCAAAGAATGCATGACTGAAACCTCAAAAGCACAGACAACAAAAACAAAACCAGACTAATGGACCTGTATTAACCTAAGCAGCTTCTGCACAGCAAAAGAAATAATCAACAGAGTGAGGAGACAACCTGCAGAATCAGAGAAAATACTTGCAAACAGTGTCTGATAGGGGAGCAATATGCAGAATTTACATGAAACTCAATTCAACAACAAAAAACCAGCAAATAATCCCATTAAAAAGTGGTCAAGGCCAGGCACGGTGGCTCACGCCTGTAATCCCGGCACTTTGGGAGGCCTAGGCAGGTGGATCATGAGGTCAAGAGATCGAGATCATCCTGGCCAATATGGTAAAAAGTGGTCAATCTGGGTGTGGCAATTCCTCAAGGATCTAGAAATAGAAATTGCATTTGACCCAGCAATCCCATTACTGGGTATATACCCAAAGGACTATAAATTGTTCTATTATAGAGATACATGCACACGTATGTTCATTGTGGCACCATTTACAATAGCAAAGACCTGGAACCAACCCAAATGTCCATCAGTGGTAGACTGGACAAAGAAAATGTGCCACATACACACCATGGAATACTATGCAGCCATAAAAAATGATGAATTCGTGTCCTTTGTAGGGACATGGATGAATCTGGAAACCATGATTCTCAGCAAACTGACACAAGAACAGAAAACCAAACACTGCATGTTCTCACTCATAAGTGGGTGTTGAACAATGAGAACCCGTGGACACAGGGAGGGGAACATCACACACTGGGGTCTGTTGAGGGGTGGGGAGCTAGTGGAGGGACAGCAGTGGGTGAGGAGGGTGGGGAGGGATAACGGTAGAAATGCCAGGTATAGATGATGGGGGTATGGAGGCAGCAAACCACCTTGCCATGTATGTACCTATGTAACATTCCTGCATGATCTGCACATGTACCCTAGAACCTAAAGTACAATTTAAAAAAAGTGGTCAAAGGACATGAATAGTCATTTTTTTTCTAAAGAAGACATATAAATGGCCAACAGGCATATGAAAAAGAACCCTCAACATTGCTAATCATCAGAGAAATGCAAATTAAAACCACAACAAGACACCATTTCACACCAGTCAGAATGGCTATTATTAAAAAGACAAAAAGTAACAGATGTTGGCAAGGATGTGGAGACACAGGAACACTTACACCGTTGATGAGAATGTAAATTAGCATAGCCTCTATGGGAAACTGGAGATTTCTCAGAGAGGTAAAAACGGAGCTACCATTTGGTCCAGCTGTCCTACTGCTGGGTACCTATGAAAAGGAAAATAAATCATTATGTCAAAAAGATAGCTGCACCTCTGTGTTTATCACAGCACTGTTCACAATAGCAAAGATAGGGAATCACCCTAAGTGTCCATCAGTAGATGATTAGATAAAGAAAATGTCACACACACACACACACACACACACACACACACACACACACACACACGAATACTATTCAGCCATAAAAAAGAATGAAATCCTGTCTTTGGCAGCAACATGGATGGAACTGGAGGCCATTATCTTAAGTGAAACAAGCAGACACAGAAAGACAAATACTTGCATGTTCTCACTTTTAAGTGGGAGCTAAATAATGTGTACACATGGATATGAGTATGGAATGATAGACATAGGAAGGAGGGAGGGGATGGTGAGAAATTACTTAATGGGTACAATATGCGTTATTTGGGTGATAGATACACTAAAAGCCAAGACTTCACCACTATATAATCTAGCCATGTAAAAAAGTTACCCCATAAATTTATACAAATGATAAAAGATTCCTTAAAGCACAGCGTACACAGTTCTGTTTACTGTTTCAAGTACAAATACCAGTTATAATTTTAGTCTAATTTAAAACACTTAAAATATGCACGTTTATAAGTGGTTTCTAGAGTATTATTTTAAGTTACTTGCTTTCGTGGCAAAGTTGGCAGTCAGACCTAGGTTGGATATTCCAAGTGGAAGACTTCATGTTAGGTAAAAGGCAAATTACCGCTGCCGGTTAACATTATAGGAATCTTTGTTAGGTAGTGTTTGGAATAACTCAGTTTTTCCTCTGCTTTCACACTACGACACTCAACACAGAAGGTTTCTGTGACACTAAAATATGTGGAGATTTCTCCCCACCAGCAAGCAGGCAGTAAATTCCTCAGTGGACATCAGTTGGGTATCCTCCAGTTCGGATGCTCTACCTGGAGGTGAGGTCAGATCCCGCAGGTTGAAGGCTTAGTTCCACCGAACAGCCCTACCATTCCCACTGGTCACAAGTCCGGCCCTCCAGAACTTCTGACCAACAGGCTTCAAGTTGGGGCTCCCACAGTTACCCCTTCTTTGGGGCGATTTAATTTGATGGAGTGGCTTACAGAACTCAGGAAATACTTTACTGATTTATTACAAAGGGTATTTTAAAGAATACAAATAAACGGGCAGGTGAAAAGATATATAAGGCAAGATCTGGAAGGGTCCCCAGCTTCTGTCACCATGGAGTTGGGGTGGCTGGCTTCCTATCATATGGAAGAGGTTCTTGTTCACCTTCCTGTAAGCATCCAGCTCTCAGGAAGCTCTCTGAACCATTTCCTTTTGGGCCGTTTATGGAGACTTCATTGCATAGGCATGTTTGATTAAGTGATTAAACCATTGGCCCTCGGTGATCAACTACCATTCCTCCCATTCCTGGAGTTTAGAGAGTGGGTCTGAAAGTCCAAACCCTCTAATCCTACCTTGGTCTTTCTGGTGACCAGCCCTCATCCTGAAGCTCCCTAGGGGCTGCCAACCGTTAGTCAATCATTAACATACAAAAATACACCACTTTGGAGATTTCAAGGATTTTAGGAGTTGTATGCAAGTAAATGCGGATGAAGACCAAATATGTATTTTATAATATCCCACCTCTCACATTTAAAAAGAGATCCAGAGTTATACACAGAAAGATATACACAGAAAGATAACATGATTATCATATCACATAGAGCAAAATAACTGCTCACCTGGGTTAGGAGCTATTGTTGGCTGTTGATTAGCCTCAGCACTCCTTGGTATCTGCACCCTACCTCTCTTTAGGGGCTACTGCCCCTTCAACTGAAAAATGCACCTGACTTGTCTTCTTACTGTTGTAACTGAGCGAGCGCGAAATCACCACTGAGACAAAGACTTGGCCAAATTACAGGGTCTTTGCTGGCGGCCACGGAGGACTCTCGTCTCTCTAACCTGTGGCCCCAAAAGGGGGGTGTCAAGAGCTTTTATGCCCGTAAACCACCTCCTGGGTGGGGGTGGGGGCGAGGGGCCTTGCACATTCTGAGGGCCAGGGGACTTTGGACATTCCGATTGTTACTTAAGTGGTTCACAGAAGTCACGATAAGCATTAGTTTACACATTGTCTGAGTAGGATGGAAATTACAGACCTTAGTTACTTTCTACAAGTCTTAAAATGGCGCAGGGGCCAAAATGACATTGGTTTGGACTGCTTGCCTGTCACATTAGGGCTATAGAGAGCAGTTTCAATGGAAAGCCAAGGTATGGTTGAGGTATGCGGTTTATGGGGCTATTACCATGTCACATTACTATTGTTTGAATAGTACTGAAAACGAGCAAGACTCTCTCCATAGGCCCTGGATCTGTTTGAGCCCCATAGCACTGAGTTGGAATCTGAGAGTCTTGTTCCAAGTGTGTGCTGTTGTAGGAGAATGGTTCTTTGAAATAGCAGAAAACCAGTCTGCATGGAAACAGCCTGTAGAGTAGTTTCCAGTGATACGTGTTCCCTGTTCTAAGGAGGTACACCACAGCTCTCTGAATTTTCCCAAAATGAGTGCTTCTGCGAGTTGCAAATGGGCTTTCTGTTTGACTGTGATGACTTTGTTTTTTCTTTACAAGTTCTAGATGAGCATGGGAAAAATATTACAATCTGTGTGCCTAACTTTGGTCAAGACCTGTACAAAGATGAAAACTTGGTGACTATACTGGGGACCGGCCTCTTAATCGGATGTATCTTGTATTCATGGTAAGTCTTGGGAGTTACTCAAGGCCATTTTTATAGACTTTGAAATTCCAGGAAAAGAATCAAAATAACTTTCAGTAGCTGTGAGGCTGCAAAAATAAACACCATTTGAGGAAAGGGGAAAACAGCCACAAGTGAAAAGGTGAAGAGCATGAACTCTAAATATTTGAACTTGGTTTACCTTACTTGTTTTTATTTGGGATAAAGAAGGCAAATATATGGTATGTCGCAGCACCATTGCCTAAGATGCTTGAATAGTAGTTTGCTACACCCTTACTGGAGGGCAGGGGAGCACACAGTGAGAAAGAGATAGAATATGCCAGAATGTCCTAGTAGCTAGCCTGCCTGCCTGCCTGCCTGCCTGCCTCCCTCCCTCCCTCCCTCTTGCCCAGGCTGGAGTATAGTGGCCCGATCTTGGCTCATTGCAACCTCTGCCTCCTGGGTTCAAGCGATTCTTTTGCCTCAGCCTCCCAAGTAGTTGGGACTACAGGCATGCATCACCATGTCTGGCTAATTTTTGTATTTTTAGTAGAGATGGGGTTTCACCATATTGGCCAAGCTGGTCTTGAACTCCTGACCTTGTGATCAGCCTGCGCTGGCCTCCCAAAGTGCTGGGATTACAGGCTTGAGCCACTGTGCCCGGCCCTGTTTTGAGATGCAGTTTCACTCTTGTTGACCAGGCTGGAGTGCAATGGTGTGATCTCCACCTGACTCAACCTCTGCCTCCTGGGTTCAAGCGATTCTTTTGCCTCAGCCTCCTGAGGACCTGGGATTACAGGCATGCATCACCATGCCAGGCTAATTTTGTATTTTTGGTAGAGACAAGGTTTCTCCATGTTGGTCAGGCTGGTCTCAAATTCCCGACCTCATGTAATCTGCCCACCCTGGCCTCCCAAAGTGCTGGGATTACAGGCGTGAGCCACCGTGCCCAGCCTATCCTGGCAGCTTTCTCATCCAAAGGAAATAGCTTTGTTCTGCTGTTGATGGAGAGTACTAAGTGCTGCATGCATGGTCCTTGTGTGCAGACAAGGAATGGTCCTTCTCTTCTCTGCTAAAACCCACAATGCTGTTGTTCAGTAGGCAAGGCAGCTTTTCCGAAAGTAGGTTGATATCTGAGTGGACTGTGTTTCAGACGCTTATGGTGGGGGTTATTCCCACCATAAAAGGTTTAAAAGATGGCTACAGGGAAAACAGTCAAGGACAGAAATGATTAGTCTGGGTGTATGTTTCACTGATAACTAAGTTTCCCTTTGACAGTAACCTTTTCACATTTAGCCCTTACTTAGGTGTTTATGTTTTGTTAATGTTTCAGTATAAAATTTCAATTTAGTTGAATTAAGTCATAGGCACATTGTAATCTTCCTCTTTGCTGAAACTAAACACTACTGGTGGTGATAGCTTGTATAAATACAATGTCTCTGTGAGCATGTTGACATTTTCTCTTACTTCATTTAATAGCTTCTACTATTAGAAAGGGACCAACAGGGACACAGACCTTTTAGAGTCTGTTTGCTCAGGGTCATGCATCAAGCCATAACATGCTTGTTGTTTTGCAGGTGGGTGTTAAGTTGATGGTTACATACATTCATTCTCCATCTGTGTGTGACATGCTGACAGGCTCCTTGTTGCAGAATGGACTGTGGTGACTTCTTTCTGGCCTTTAGATTTTATTCCATAAGTTGTTCACTGAGTAGCTACCATATAGGAAGCAGGCTGGGTGGTACAGTGGCTTACACCTGTAATCCCAGCACTTTGGGAGGCTGAGGCAGGAGGATCACTTGAGCCCAGGAGTTCGAGACCAGCCTGGATGACATAGTGAGACCCTGTCTCTACCAAAAAAAAAATTAGACATGGTAGTGTGTCTGTGGTTCCAGCTACTTGAGAGGCTGAGATGGGAGGATCGCTTGAACCCAGGTGTCTAAGGCTGCAGTGAGCTGGGGGTAGCTCCACTCTAGCCTAAGCAACAGAGTGAGACCCTATCTCTTAAAAAGAAAAAAATAAATAAATAAAAAACTATTAAGATATTTGACAAGATAAAATCATGTTTTTTGGGGTTACTGGGTACCTAGTAGTATATGAATGAAAAAAAATTGCCCTAGCTGGGCACGGTGGCTCATGCCTGTAATCACAGCACTTTGAGAGGCCAAGGTGGACGAATCACCTGAGGTCAAGAGTTCAAGGCCAGCCTGGCCAACCTGGTGAAACCCCGTCTCTACTAAAAATACAAAAATTAGCTGGGTGTGGTGGTATACCCCTGTAATCCCAACTACTCAGGAGACTGAGGCTGGAGAATTGCTTGAACTCACTATAGTGAGCTGAGATCATGGCATTGCACTCCAGCCTGGGCAACAAGAGCAAAACTCTTATCTCAAAAAAAAAAAAAAAAAATCCCCTTTAGATAAAGTAGAGTTTGGATTTGCTATAAACCCTTCAATGGAAAAGGTGGCAAAAGTTCTCAGCCTTCTGTATAGGGTTACCACACATAGGATATCTCACAACATCGAATTTTCCCCCTATCATATTTTCTCAGGATTTCTAGCAGTTTTAAAGAATTACTTCTTAGTTACCCCTCAGTCAGCCCTTGAGTGAGAGTTGATAAATAAATGTTGTCTCTGATAGGATTGAGGCACCATAGTGGAGATTGGCAGGGGCTAGTCTGATATTCCCAAAAGATGTCTGTTTTCAAAGTTGATAGCTACTTAAAAAAAAAAAAATCTGTCTAATGCCAGCAACAAACTGTTATTGAATGCTTGTAGTTAAATCACAATACTGCAGTGCCTGGTGGGATGAGAACATATAAAAAGCAGCTCCTACAAAGCAGATATTAGGATGACCAGTCTGCTCTGTGGGATACTTCTGTAATCAGTAGGCAAGAGACCACACCCTGAGCTGGGCAGTTCGTGCCTCCTAGGAGTAAATGCCCCTGGGGTCTGTGTGACTGATATTTGCTGTAGTTGTCCACTACAGCTCCTGCAGGGGTCAGCTTTAAGAACACTGAATTCAGGCTTAGGAGGGCCTGGGAATAAAAGGAATGCTGTACGGGTGGGAGTCACCTTAACTAGGGTTTTTTCAGATCTGGCTTCTGAAGAGTTTGTTTTCCTTCCTGACTCAGAGGAATGAAAGGTTGGAGGATGTTACAAAAAGGCCACATCGTCTGTCATTTGAGCATAATTGCAGGAATATCTAGGATTCTTGACAGAAATTGTAGGAAGCCAGAGACTTTAGATAGTATGTAGGTTAAAAGGAGAAGGCCGCAAGGTCACCTGGGGTCCACTCTTCTGTAAAGTTATAGAAGGCTGGAAAGCTCCCCAGCTCCTCTCTTTCCTTTCCCCTCCAGAGTCCCCCAGCACCCCCCCCCCCACCACCAAACACTTGGTTCTTTTGAGGTATCTGTCCTGACTGTTGCATCTGGGGGACTCACTAGGAGTATGTTTTAATGTTTGCATTCTCAGCTCAGAAGAAGGGCTCAACCCAAACCTACTCCCTGCCTTTCTGCCTGGGGCCGCCTTTTCTCCAGAGCCTTCTTCCATTGCACACAGGAATCATTACTGTGAAAGAGCATCAGCTTGGACCCCATGTAAGCCTTCACCTTGGTCCACTTGTGAGAGTTCCCTGATGCCTCTTTTTATTTTTTTAAATAGAAAAGCTCTTTTTTAAGGCAATCTTCCACTGTGTTACCCAGGCTGGGTAAACCCCTGTGTTCAAGGAATCCTTGTGCTTCAGCCTCCCAAATAGCTGGGACTACAGGCACAACCATGGTGCCTGGCTTTCTGACGGCTCTTTCCATACGCCCACCCCTCTATGCCCCTTTAGTCTGGAACTTTGCTGTGACAAGCCCTGACCTCCAGAAACTATTTCTTAATTCCCTCCTTGGTCCCTGGATTTTGATGGAAGTTGTTACTCTGTTGCCTTCAGCTATCAGCCTGGACAGGATCCTGGAGTTGATTAGGTCAGTCTCCTTATTGTACATGTAAGGATGCTTGGAGCCTGTATTTGCAGCTCTCTAATCCCAATTTTGGGCAGCCTTTCCTTGAGGCTGCTTTGCAGAAGTATTTAGGGAGACTGGTGGATAGTCTTTCTCCGGCTCTTTTTCCTGAGATGGTTTGAAGCAATGTCCCCTGAGGGAGAAGGCAAGCTGGAACCTGCCTAATCGTACTACTACAAGGCATTTGCACTATAAAGTTTCCTGGCCATTCCACTTTTATTTGTGTTTAAGAGAAAAAATATAGTTCTTAATATTGAACCATCTTTGAGAATATCTTTTTAAATATAAAACTGGAAAATGTAAGAATCTTTATTCAACGTCATACAACTTCCTAGTTTGAAGTGGGAAAGTTTGCAGATACAGGTTGGTGTGATAGCACTGGCAAGGGGATTGGTTTACATTAAGAAAAGTTGGGAAGTCAAGGAAGGGTATTTATTCTTTTGCACGTTCTGGGCCTGCTACTTTAAGGGTAGGGGGCAGGAAGGAGGGGGAAATTTGTCTTTTCATTTTGGGAATTCTGTTCCAGGCTGACTCGACAGCTAGAAATTTTCAAGTTAGAAATCTTCCACCTCGTGCCCCAGATTCACAGAGAGCTTGGGTCTCTTTTGGGTTCTATAGCACAGGGGAGCATGACTAAGCTTCATCATCACACAAAGGCTGGGAATAGGTGGGATCCGTCAAGGACCTGCCCTGTACATTTGTCAGGGAACAGAATGTGTGATCTCCAGGAACGTTTGGACGCATTTAGATATTTTCTGTGGTCTAGTGGACTTTAGCCAGCTTGAAAAGGCATCTGCAGTGCCAGTGTTGAGGGGCCCCTTCATTGTGTATTCTTCTGCCAGTGTGGAAGGGGTTCTGGCCACTGTCGTGGTTCTGCAGGGAAACGGTGGATGGCTTTTTTTTTTTTTTTTTGGCTGTCACCATGACTGCAGACCACCACTGGCATTTTGGGGTGGGGTGGGGCAGCACCGGGCAGAGACAGTAAACACACTGTGGTGCGTTAGACATTCTCCGTACAGTAAAGCATCGTCTCAGCCCAGTGCTGGCAGTCTCCCTCTATCCCCACGGGAAATACTATCTTAGCCCACACCTATCTTAGCCCAGGAAGAGGAGAGGTTTATAGGGAACCCCAGGGATTGTTTTATAGCAATTTGTGCTATGCTCACCCAACAGTGGTCTTTTTAATAGCATGAATGCAGACAATAAACATTTCCTGGGCTTTAAGAGCTTATAAAAACAACCGTTCTTGATAATTCCAAGAAGAGTGTTTTATGGGGAAAGGCTACAACTGAATAAAGATATAAAGATCTTTTTTTTTTTTTTTGAGAAACAGAGTCTTGCTCTGTTACCCAGGCTGGACTACAGCCTCCGCTTCCTGGGTTCAAGCGATTCTCCTGTCTCAGCCTCCTGAGTAGCTAGGACGACAGGCGCCCGCCACCATGCTCAGCTAATTTTTGTATTTTTAGTAGAGATGGGGTTTCACCATGTTGGCCAGGCTGGCCTCAAACTCCTAACCTCAGGTGATCTGCCCGCCTTGGCCTCCCAAAGTGCTGGGATTAAAGACATGAGCCACTACGCCCACAGCTGAATAAAGTTCTTAATGTAGGATAACATCTACTTGTAGAAGTCACATGGCATTAATGATGCTCTGAATGCTGTTAGTTTTAGAAGTTAAAACAAAACCTTCCCCACATGAGGTCTCTCTGACGGTGAAGTGGCAAAGGAGCCCAAATCAAGAGCTTTGTTTTTCTGGAAATTATGTTAATCCAAAGTATTTAAAGTAGAATATTTATTCTGAGTCTTTTTTTTTTTTTTCTTTTGAGACAAGAGTCTCGCTTTCTTGCTTAGGCTGGAGTACAGTAGTGTGATCTTAGCTCACTGCAACCTCTGCTTCCCAGGTGTCAAACGATTTTCCTGCCTCAACCACCTGAGTAGCTGGGATTACAGGTGACTGCCACCACGCCCAGCTAATTTTTGTGTTTTTTTTTAGTAGAGACAAGTTTTCGTCATATTGGCCAGGCTGGAACTCCTGACCTCAAGGGATCCACCCGCCTCGGCCTCCCAAAGTGCTGGGATTACAGGCGTGAACCACTGCACCTGGCCTATTGCGAGTCTCTTAAATAATGAATGTTACCTTTCAAATGAAAATTTTAGATACTGATCTCTTCTTAAAATTAAAAACTTGTATTTTCCCCTGTGGAAATGAAATACTGTACTAAATCAAAACTTGCATGCATGCACAGAATAAAGGCCATTCTTTTTTTTTTTTTTTTTTTAAGACAGGGTCTCTGTCACCCAGGCTGAAGTGCAGTGGTATGTGATTATGCTCACTGCAACCTCCCAGGCTCAATCGATTCTCCTACTTCAGCCTCCCAGATAGCTGGGACTGCAGGCATGTGCTGCCACACCTGGCTAATTTTTGTATTTTCTGTAAAGACGGGGTTTTGCAATGTTGCCCAAGCTGGTCTCAAACTCCTGGGCTCAAGCGATCTGCCTGCGACAGCCTCCGAAAGTGCTGAGATTACGGGTATGAGCCACCCTCCCCAGCTGGGCCACTCTTAAAGGTAGGATCAGGTGTGTGTTCCTTAGGTGCACAGTCACTGGGAGATGTTTCCATCTCCCTCTGACCAGGCACACAGTCAGGAGGTGGAGTGGCGTGGGCCTGGATTAGCATCCATCAGCTCAAAGCAGAAATGAAAGCGATGCTGTTGTACTTGAGTGGACCACAAGAGAAGCAGTGAGCTTGGATCTCAGTGGGCCTCTGTGTGAGGAAAGCTTTTTATTGTTTATCTCTGTCTCGCTGATCTCTTCTCTCCGTGGGAAAGAGGATGAGACTGTGCAGAGGAGGCAGTGTTGCCCCATGGGGTTCGCTGGATTGAGATGCGTGTTTGTCCCTGCCTGTCCACGAGCAGACCAGCCTCTTGAGCACCAACACACCCTGCCCATGTCTAGGCCAGCTCAGAAGCTACATGCTGGCAGGATTGTTGCCTGTGTCACTAAGTCCCCAGTGCCTAGAATAGGGCCTGATACATAGTGGGCCTTCAGTAAATATTTGCTAAATGAATCTCTAAAGTTAGCTGGAACCCTAAGTATTGAATACATTTCTATTTGCTTAAAAATGTTCTGTGTTTTCAAGGTAAGAGTTCGAGACCAGTCTGGCCAACATGGTGAAACCTCGTCTCTACTAAAAATACAAAAAATTAGCTGGGTGTGGTGGTACGTGCTTACAGTCCCAGCTACACTTGGGAGGCTGAGGCAGGAGAATTGCTTGAACCTAGGAGGCGGAGATGGCGCCATTGCACTCCAGCCTGGGCAACAAGAGCAAAACTCCATCTCAAAAAAAAGAATGTTCTGTGTTTCTGTTTAGTAGAGACAAGGTCTTGCTGTGTTGCCCAGGCCGTTCTCAAACTCCTGGCCTCACTCAGGTGATCCTCCAGCCCCTTGCTTGCAAAGTATGACAGGCATGAGCCACCACTTCTGGTGTGTTTTTATTTTCAGAAAAAATAAATTATTTTACCCCATGCAAGGCAAAATTTCTAACATTTTACCTTTCTAGGTCTGGGGAAAGAGGCAGAATTTTTTATTACACCGACTGCTGCTCTGTTAAATTTCCAAACAGCAAGCCTTGTTCTGCCATAGGCTATCACAGTTAATAACTGCAACCTTTCCTTTCATGTCCTCCATTTCTGTTGGCATCTCTGGGCTTATTGCTTTTGATCCCCTCTAAGCAAGACTAGTCAAAGGGAGGGAAAGATAAAGTGAAATTACAAAATTATTCTAGCATTTGAGGGAGGAGAGTCAAAAAGCAATACTGACAACCAAAATATCTTACTACTACCTACAAACTTCTTCTTTGTGTAAAATGATCTAATGTAATCCGTGTAAAATGATATTAACTATAGAATCAGACAATTTTGGAATAAGGTGGGATATTAAAATAGACTGCTTTAAGTCACCTGAACGGTAGGTGACAGTGAGGCTCTCATCAGACATGGGCAGCCGGCTTTCCATTCATTCCATGTGTTGTAACATGTTAATGCACCTAGCTGACTTTTTTGTTTGTTTCTTAGTTTGACATCAACCACGAGATCGAGTTCCGATGCTCTGCAGGGGCGATATGCAGCTCCTGAGCTGGAAGTAAGTTCATTTCCTTTTCCTGCCAAGCTTCATCTCAAAAGATCCATTTCTCAGGAGGGCCTTTTGTGTTTGTGTCTTTAGCAGTCTGCATTCCATGATCCTGTTTTTCTGCTCAGGAAAGAAGATTTTTGTATAGAAAAACCAGTGCTTTCCTTTGTATACTATGAAATTAAAATGAATCAGTCAGTTCTTGATTTTCTGTAAGAAAACTGACCTCTTGTGTGGCATCCTGCAGCCCACTCCCACCCAGAAGCTCGGGGAATCTTATCAGGCTGCACGCTGCTCTCCCCCCTTGCCTTCGTGGAGTGTGGGTGGGTTTTATTTTAACTTCTGATCCATCCATCTGTTTCATACTTGTCTGTGCCCTCCATACACAGTGTGGCTGTGAGATTATGTAATAGCTGTTTGGAAGGAAGGAGAGAGGAAACGGAAGGAACTGTATCTGCTCCACCTGACACTCTTGAACGTGGTAGATACATTAACTCATTTAACTGAATGTCAGTTTCATCAGGTGGGCATTTTTTCAGGTAGAGTGTCATGAATAATGCATGCATTGGTTGCCTGCACATCCAGAGCCACAAGGTGTTCAGCAGGTGCCTGTCAGTCAACAAAATGTTATTTTCTTAACTGTGCAAAAGTCTTCTTGGGGCTCTTAATGGAACATCTACCAACATCAGAAAGTCCTAATCAGATGAAGGCAGCCATGGCAAGACTCAGCTGTGACCCCAGAATGAAAAGAACCAAGGGTTCAAAGGATGGCTGAGACTTATAGCACTTGCTATGTCCCAGGCACTGTCACTTAATCCTCATAAAAACCCAGTGGCATGCTATTACCTCCATTTTATAGAGGGGAAAATCAGAAGAGTTAAGTCATTTAATCTTCACAGGTTTTGATTAGCTAGAATGTAAACTGTGCACTCTGGCCCCAGAGCCTGTGATCTTGACCCCTGCTGCCCAGGAGCTCAGCTGCTGACCCCTGGTCCTTGCTGCTGACTGCGGGCAGCTGGCATCCAGCCACTGCCTGCATTCTAATAGCTTTCCATGGATGGGAAAAGCCCTTGGGTTTGCCCACATATGGACACTTTACTGTGCAGCTGGCTCTCTGGGGATGGTCTCTCTTGCACCTGACCTGAAGATAGTGAGCCATTATGAAGGGTTGTCAGTCTGCCAGCATCAGTCACCAACTCTTTCTGTTGCCTAAAGGAGAAAACTGTGCTGAGTTTGAGTAGTTTACTGCCTATTATACAGAAGAGAATGGTCTGTAGAAGGGGCGTTTGTTCTCACCACTGACTAGGTGACCACCTGCTGAGGTTGTGTGGTTATGGTTTCAATGTCCCTATTGTGTACAGAGTTTAAGCTCAAAGAACAGCAAGTCTCCAAGTTAGGATTTAAGACAGGATGTTTTTCTTCTCAGTCCAAGGAAAAATGTCCTAGTGTTTTCTTGTGAACTGGAGAGCATGCAGGATGGATGTTGTTTTGCTCTCCTGCATCACATTTCACAGGATACGGCTTTGAAAGTGAGAGTTCGTAGTTTCTTGGGGTAACTTGAGCTTCAAAAGAACTAAGACCTCAGCATACCGTGTCTTGGGCCCACTGAATGAATTCATGGTTTTTAGACCATGCCACTTAATCCAGGCTCCTGTTAAGGCTAATGCCTCTGTTAAAGGTTTCCTTGCCAATCAGGGAAACAAGGGCTTGGCCTTGATGTACAAATGGAATGAAAGGTAAGTGCTCATATTCTCATCCCTGGTTGTCTGTTCTTTATAGTTGAAATATCTTCAACCACAAAGTGTTAAGGGCCGTGCGCTTCCCAGGCTGTCTTAGCGCTTTGTTTACCAGACTCCTGAAGTCATGTACTTTCTTTTTTCTTTTTCTTTCTTTTTTTTTTTTTTTGAGACAGGGTCTCTGTCACCCAGGTTGGAGTGCCGTGGTGGGATCATAGCTCGCTGCGGCCTCAAACTCATGGAGTTAGGCAATTTTCCTCCCTCAGCTTTTCGAATAGCTGGGACTACACCTGACCTGATTCAAAAATTAAGTTTATTGCTTTGAGTAGATAAGAAATAATGATATAAAAAGTTTGCAAGTTACCAAAGATGCTTCAAAGGGAAGCATTCCCTGCATCCCTGTCCATGGCCGGTGCAGCAGCTTGATTTGGATAGGAAACATGGGTAGGCTGCTTCCAAATTCCTTCGCTTTACTATTTCAGGTTCCACCAGCGTCACCAAGCTCCTAGACACCACGTGTCACCTCCTGTGAATCATGGAGCTTGGAGTCCCCATCCGATATTCGTCTGTCCCAGCTCTGTCACTAAGCTAGTTTGGTGACTTTGGCAAGTTAACCTGCCTGACCTGAGTTTCCTCCGCTGTAAACAGGATAATAGTAATCCCAATACAAAGGTCAAAGAGGATTTAATGAAATAACATTGAAAGCAAAGCACGAGAGGGGAGCACCAGGAGAGTGGGGCTCTTTTCATGTTCATTGTGTTTCACGTTGAATTCTCCAGAAGCAGAGGCTGAGGCAGTTTGTTGCATGGGGTAGTTATTAAGGATCAGCACATGTGGAGGGAGAAGGGGAAGGAGGCAAAATTAGGCAGAGGGTGAAGTGAAGGACAGTGCAGCTGGACAGAGCCTTCCTAACCCCACGGGCCAAAATGACATGGCTTTTACCCCTGCTGTGATCAGCCATTCCATGGCGGTCACCCGGAAAGGGTAAAAGAGCTGACGTCTAGAGGTTCTCTGCCAGCATTCATGATAGCAAGAGCCAGCACCAAGACCCTGGATGGGGATCTCGGTGGCATATCTTCCATGGTGTTTCCTGTCACCAGCACCCAGCACACCTGGGAAAGAACAATCCAAATCTCTTGAAGGGATACATGCGATTCAGGATCAGGGAGGTGGTTCAAATAAGAGCAGGTTTGGCCCCTGCTGCCCTACTAAGGTAGACTAGAAATAGAACACAAGCCACCTGACTGTTGCTTTTGCTTTCACAGATAGCTCGCTGTTGTTTTTGCTTCAGTCCTGGTGGAGAGGGTAAGCACAGCACTTTTATTCTTTGCATCTGTGTGGCACTGCAGACCTATAGCTCTAATCTGTAGTCATTTGGGTTCAGACACAAGTAACTTGATTAGTAAGGGGAAATTGTTATTCTAAAGCTGATTTACTGCTTGTATAGTTTTCACATTCTTCCCGAAGGATAGCTGAGTTTTGTGTTGGTATTCTGGTAGGAAGAATCAGTCTACATTTTGGTTTATATGTAAGTTAAATTATACAGTGAGATTTGGAGAGTCAGAAAGCACTTTTTTTTTTTTTTTTTTGTTTTTGAGATGGAGTCTCACTCTGTATCCCAGGCTGGAGTGCAGTGATGTGATCTTGGCTCACTGCAACCTCTGCCTTCCAGATTCAAGCAATTCTCCTGCCTTGGCCTCCAGAGTAGCTGGGATTACAGGTGCCTACCACCACACTCACCTAATTTTTTGTATTTTTAGTAGAGATGGGGTTTCACTGTGTTAGCCAGGATGGTCTTGATCTCCTGACCTCGTGATTCGCCTGCCTCAGCCTCCCAAAGTGCTGGGATTACAGGTGCAAGCCACTGCACCCGGCCAGAAAGCACATTTTTAAAAAAGGAATGATATGGAAAACGCCAAGAGATCCTGACACCTTATTTTGGGGCCATTTCATTTCTTCACCTTACTTTCCTTCTTGGATTGGAGGATTCCAAAGACTTGAGAACTTTGTTTTGTTCTCTCTCCCTTTCTGGTAAGCTTATAGCAAGTTTTACATCTGTAAGGGTTCTGTTTCTGTTAAACTATATGTGGCAGGTTGGGCACTGTGGCTCACACCTGTAATCCCAGCACTTTGGGAGGTCAAGGCTGGTGGATCACCTGAAGTCAGGAGTTCAAGACCAGCCTGGCCAACATGGTGAAACCCTGTCTCTACTAAAAGAAAAACTATAAAATTAGCTAGGTGTGGTGCCTGTAATCCTAGCCTCTCAGGAGGCTGAGGCAGGAGAATCGCTTGAACCTGGGAGGCAGAGGTTGCAATGAGCTGAGATTGCACCGCTGCACTCCAGTCTGGGCAAAAAGAGCGAAACTCCATCTCAAAAATAAATAAATAAATAAAAATACATGTGGCATTAGGTAACTCATCCTGTTTTGGAAGTTGCTAGGGTCGGGTGGAGGTTTTGTACTTGGGGCACAGATTGAAGTTGCAGAAGGTACAGATGGCCATCTGGCATCTTTTCTACTGAAAGCCCTGTGGAATTAGTGAGCATGGCTTTGCTGAATGCTAAACACATGTTCACTCACTGAGCCTGGGCTTCCTCTGTGCTTCACAGACACTGAAGAGCAGCAGCCGGGGAAGAAGGGGCCGCGGGTCATTTATGACGAGAAGAAAGGCACCGTCTACATCTACTCCTACTTCCACTTCGTGTTCTTTCTGGCTTCCCTCTATGTGATGATGACTGTCACCAACTGGTTCAAGTGAGTGGCCCATTGGCTTAGGGATTTTGGAAGCGAAGTCTTAAGAGTTAAGTACTATTCGTGTTTGTTTGTTTGAAAAGGAGCCTTACTCTGTTGCCCAGGCTGGAGTGCAGTGGCATGATCCCTGCTTACTGAAACCTCCACCTCCCAGAATCAAGCGATTCTCGTGCCTCGGTCTCCCGAGTAGCTGGGACTACATGCATGCACCACCATGCCTGGCTAATTTTTGTATTTTTAGTAGAGACAGGTTTTGCCGTGTTAGCCAGGCTGGTCTTGAATTCCTGACCTCAAGTGATCAGTGACCTCAAGTGAGGGCCTGATCAAGTCACTGCCTTGGCCTCCCAAAGTGCTGAGACTACAGGTGAGTTCTGAGTTTTAACATTGGACATGTATGTGTTAACCCTGGAAACTGGTGATGCTTACAGCAACTTTAAGAAAATGGAAGGTTAGCTCTATATAGACATTCTAGAAAACATGGTAATGGAGGAAAAATGGGAATTCCTAAGCATTTATCTGTCTTTAAGAAAGAGAAAATATCCCTTTTTTCTACTTCAAATTTTGTTTATCTTTTTCCCCACTTTTCTTCATTTTCATTACAAAAGTTGGAAACATCTTTCTTTTTTTTTTTTTTGAGATGGAGTCTCACTCTGTCACCAGGCTGGAATGCAGTGGTACGATCTCGGCTCACTGCAACCTCCGCCTCCCAGGTTCAAGTGATTCTCCTGCCTCAGCCTCCTGAGTAGCTGGAATTACAGGCACGCACCACCACACCCAGATAATTTTTGTATTTTTAGTAGAGACAGTGTTTTACCATGTTGGCCAGGATGGTATTGATCTCTTGACCTTGTGATCCACCCACCTCAGCCTTCCAAAGTGCTGGGATTACAGGCGTGAGCCACCGTGCCCAGCCTGAAACATCTTTTTTAAAACTACAAACTAAATGTGGAATTATGAAAAGTAGCAATGTGGTACCCCCCTGTCTAACCCCAACACAGATAACCACTGCTAGGATGTGTATCTTTTCATTCCTTTTCTGTGCATTTGTAAACATGTCATTTTTTTTTAAAACATAAATGTCATCATATATGTTTTCCCCCAGAGGCTTTTTTTAACTTGACAGTACATGATTGACCTGGCCTTCCCTGTCACTACACAGAGGTTCATACTTTTTCTACAAGTCCAGAGCGTCGGTTATATCATAATTTGACCACTAAGTTAGGCTTAGACATGTAGGCTCCTTGTGCTTCCTCGTATCATTCATTCAACAGATGTACAAGTGGCTCCTGTGTGCCACATGGTTCTAGGAGGCAGGGCTTATAGTCTAGCGGGAGAGGCAGACTATGACCCAAGTTAGATACGGTGTGGTAGATGGTAGTGAGCATTGGGGAGAAAAATAAAATGAGGAAGGGGAATTGTGGTCGGGTGGTGGGAGTGGTGGTTTCAAGCACATTGATTGGAGGAGAGGAGAAGAGAGCTTTAATGCTTCCCAGTGACGCTTTGAGAACTCCTGGGGATTTTTGGCTTGGGAAGCTTAAGAAAGGATGGCGGATGCTATAATTAAAAAGGCAGATGATAACAAATGTCAAGGAAGTTGAGAAATTGGAACCCTCTTACATTGCTGGTTTGAATGTGAAATCTGCTTTGGAAAAGAGTTTGGCAGCTCCTTAAACAATAAAACATTGAGTTACAATATAATCCAGCTCTTCCACTCCTGAGCATGTACCTAAGACAAAAAGAAAACTAGGTCCACAAAAAAAACTTACCCCTGTATGTTTTTACCCACATAAGTTTGATGATTAATACCAGCATCATTCGTGATAGCCAAAAAGGGGAAACACCCCAAATGACCATGTGTTCTATACGTGCAATAGGATACTATTTAGCACTTTAAAAAAAAATAGAATGAAGGACTGATGCATGCTACCACATGGATGAGCCTTGGAAATGGTATGCTTTGGTAAAAAAGCCACACACAAAAGGCCTTGTGATTTCCTTTATATCAACTGTCCAGAATAGGCAAATCCATAGAGACAGAAAGTAGATTGGTGAATGTTGGGGACGGACCAGGGGACTATGGGGAAGTGGAGAGTGCCTAAGGGGTGCATGATGTCTTTTGGGGGTGATGGGAATGTTTGGAAATGGATTGTGTTGGTGGTGGCACAAGTCTGTGTATGCATGTGTTAAAAGCCATTGAATTGTACATTATGCATGGATGTGAGTTAGTAAATTATATCTCAATATATTCCTGCTCTGACTGCAGCTGGGTCTCTTGTTTCCATAGCTACGAAAGTGCCAACATGGAGAGCTTCTTCAGCGGGAGCTGGTCCATCTTCTGGGTCAAGATGGCCTCCTGCTGGATCTGTGTGCTGTTGTACCTGTGGACGCTGGTCGCTCCCCTCTGCTGCCCCACCCGGCAGTTCTCCGTTTGACAATGTCAGTGGTCCCCTGGGCTCTGTGGGCCTGCAGCCTGGAAAGTGCCATCTTTTGAACAGTGTCCCCGGGGGTTAAGTGGTGACTGGCGCCCTGTGCCTAAGTGGGTCTGAAAAGGCTTTCAGAAAAAAAAAAAATCTCCTGATTAGATTTTTACTTTTGAAATTCAAAAAGAAACTACCAGTTTGTCCGAAAGGAATTGAAATTTTCAACTAAACTGATCATGGTTGAAATATCCTACCCCTAGAAACTAGATACTAGTTATGTTGACTTCATTCTGCTTGGTTTTGCCGAAACAGAGTTTGGGGCACAGCATCTTTTCACAGGGATAAAAAATACCTTGTGTGGCCAGTCATACTCATCCTTGGAATAGAAAAACATGCCAAATCCCCAGCCCCTGACAGAATCCAGACCCCTCTCCCTCAACTCCCACCTCTTAGAGCTTTGTCCCCAGGGGACTTTGAGGACAGGACTCAGACTGCAGAGCCCCTGGTATTTATAAGGTCCAAGAGGAGGCACCTGCTTTTCAGCTGCACCCTCCGTGCTGCCTCCTCATGGCCCCTAAACGTCTCCCTCTGAGGTTGTGATGCTGGAAATCACAGACTTCACTCTCTGCCCACACCCTTCCCCGAGGTCTCATCTCTTCTGGGTCCCACATCTTTGTAATAATGTGAAAAAGCACAATTTCCCCAGTCACCCCCAACATGGTTCTCCACCAGATTATCACTACCTGATCTTAGTTACTGCAAAAGTATGGCGCTTATTTATGGTGTTAGTCACATGGTTATAGAACAGGATTCGTGTTGTTTTCTTTGCCTAACCAATGGAGGGCTATAATTCTTACTTGTGTGTGCTGTTGATAATGATCATACTTTTAGGACCTTAACTGAAAAGCTGCTTCAAGTTGAAGCCTGCTGCATGCACTGCTCTTTCAGTTGTTGAGGTCAGCCCCTCAGTTTCTTCTCCACCTTGAGGCCTTTGAAACTGTAAAAGCGGAAGAGCTTTTGTGTTCTGTCGCTGTAATGTGACCACACCATTCAAGTTCATTTTGGTGTCCATGGAGTAGATTTACTAAAGAGAGAATTTCTGAGGTGAGGATCCCAGGCAGCACCTCAGACACTGTGACCCAGGAAAGCATGTTAGGAAAAGTGTGGGAGTGGCCAAATATACTTAAAGACAAGTGGGAGGAGGCGAGTGGATCTCTTGAGGTCAGGAGTTCAAGACCAGCCTGGTCCACATGGTAAAACCCCCGTCTCTACTAAAAATAGAAAAATTAGCTGGGCATGGTAGCGTGTGCCTGTAATCCCAGCTACTTCAAGGCTGTGGCACGAGAATCACTTGAACCCAGGAGGTGGAAGTTGCAGTGAGCCAAGATTACGCCACTGCACTCCAGCCTGGTGACAAGAGTGAGCCTTCATCTAAAAAAACAAAAAAAAACAAAAAAAAAAAAAAAAAAGGAGAGAGAGGTGGGCGGTTGAGGGTATTTAAGCCGTAAGTAACATCCACAGGGATTTCCAAAATACATACTGTAATACTCATAGAGATGTGTCTTTTGGCAGCTACCCAAGATGATGCCCATTTTCAGTGTTGATGTTCTCAGGCAGGGAAGAGGTTTACTTTATGGAAACTCCTGTTAGAGAATTTCATTCGGGGTGGAAAGAATCTTCTTGAGCTCTCTGGAAGTGAGGATCTGAGAATAAAAGACAGCCTAGTCATTTTTTTCTGTGCCGTACTCTATGAGTTGGACAAAATTGAATGCCACCTAAGCTGGGCGTCTGTGTGCCAAAATGCTTGTGGGTGAAATCAGTAAAATTCTTTCTGTTCATTCCTTTGCCCTTCTCCCAAAATGCTTGTGGGTGAAATCAGTAAAATTCTTTCTGTTCATTCCTTTGCCCTTCTCCCAAGAAAACCCAGGGAAAAACAAATATAGGGGATGAATTCCTCTAGAACTTTCCCTACTTACAGTGTTTGAGATTCTGTTTTAAAAGGCACTCCATCTGTGTGTTTGGTTAAGAGAGCCTTGTTTTGTAAAGTCCATTAAATTTCCATTAAATAGGGCAGGAGAGATTCATCAGGAGTTGCAAAATGAAAGCCGATGAAAGCCGTTTGCTAACCTGAGGAACCAGTTAGGGGACCGGAGCTCCGTGGGCCAGGAACAGGCTCAGGAAGTGGGGCTGCATGTCACACACAGTAGCCATGCTGCAGTGGCATGGGGCCGTGGGTACACCGCGGTTGTTTTTAGGAAACACTCTGAGAAGCAGGTTGGGGGCCAGGGCAGCATTGTGACTAGTTTCTTTGTCTTCCTCCTGCTGAGGTCTAGCAGAGCCCTTGCTTTGTCTTCTCGGCTGGGTCTGGTGGCCAGCTGGTGTGATTTAAGAAACTGACCTTATGCCCAGTCAAGGTCAAGCTGACAAGGCCTTGCATTCCTTGGCTGGCTGTGGTTGGCCCTTTCCTCTGCAGAAAGCAGCTCAGGGAAGCCCAAGCAAGGGGGTGTGGGCGGTGGAAGGCCCGCGTCCCTTCTTCCGGAGCCAGCCCAGTCACTCCACGTTTTCCAGATGTGTGAGTCTTGGTTTGTGGTCTCCCGTTCCCTTCTGCAAGTTGGTCTGAGGCAAGAGGAAGAGTTAAAAGTTGATCTGAGTTTTATTCTCTGCTGAAATGTTAGCATGTATATCTGGATGAACAAAAGAGATGTGGATGTATCTGAGGACCGAGGGACTATCAATGCAAAGTTAATAGTGTTAATGGTTATTAATTGTGATACACAATACTCAGGTGAAGAGTCAACATTCCTGGATTTAAAGAATCTGTAGTTATGGCCATGTGCAGTGGCTCATGCCTGTAATCCAGCATTTTGGGAGGCCGAGGCAGGCAGATCACCTGAGGTTAGGAGTTCGAGACCAGCCTGGCCAACATGGAGAAACCCCATCACTACTAAAAATACAAAATTAGCCGAGCATGGTGGCACATGCCTGTAATCCCAGCTACTCGGGAGGCTGAGGCAGGAGAATTGTTTGAACTCAGGAGGTGGAGATTGTGGTGAGCCGAGATTGCGCCATTGTACTCTGGCCTGGGCAACAATTGTGAAACTCTGTCTCAAAAAAAAAGAATCTACAGTTTTGTGCAATGTTATTTAAGAGACTGGAAACATTGTGCCAGTGGCTTTGAGTTGCTATAACAATGGTGTTAATTTGATTAACTCACTGATATCTTTTAAAAATAATAGACATTTACTTCCTACAGTTTTTTGTACACAACTTAAAGAGTATATTCCCAGAAGCTGCTGGTCAGACACATTTAGGGATGACAATTGAAGAAGATTTTTTTAAAGCTGCAAGTGAATATTTCCTCTGTGTCACTCATCTGATAGAAAAGTTTCCCCTCATTTTTATGAGTAAAAACACTAAGTGGGTGACAGGGGGTGGGGGTTCTTATGGGAGTGCCGTCCGAAGCATGTTACCTGACTGGAAACTAGAGACCATTTCCATTATAAGCCTTCAGAGACCCAACCACATCTTTACTGAGTCTAACTTTTTAAATACTCATTGGTTAGTTTTACTTTTGCCCACAATTTTCTTGGGGAATTGTCTGAAGAAATTGTTTGCCACAGGTATTTGGAGGCTCTTTGTAGGGGAGATGAAGTGGGGTGGGCTGTGGGGTGGGTGGAGTTACTGGGGTTTTGGGGTTCTGTTTCCATACAACATTGTTTATTTCTGATTCTTCAGAAGATCCTTCATTATGAGTGACCTCAGTGTAATGTTAATTTCCCATCCCCATGCCAAAATTGTCACCCTCTGCCTTTTTTTTGAGACTGGCTCACTCTGCCACTCAGGCTGGAGTGCAGTGACATGATCTTGATTTATGGCAGCCTTGATCTATCTCCTGGGGCTCAAGAACCACCTCCCAAGTAGCTGAGACCACACGTTTTTGCCACCATACCTGGCGAATTTTTATTTTTATTTTTTTGTAGAGATGAGGTTGTCCAGGCTGGTCTCCAACTCCTGAGCTCAAGAAATGTGCCCGCCTTGGCCTCCCAAAGTGCTGAGATGACATGTGTAAATCACTGCACGCAGCCCGCCCTCTGCCTTTCTAAGATGATGTATTTATTTAATTTTTCCCATCATTGGTGCTTCACCTTCCTGTGAAGGGAATTCCGGAGCCTGTATTTAAGCTACCTGGGCTTTTTCCCTCCCTTTATTGCCTTTCTAAATGCACATTTGGTGTACTCTAGTATCCGATACCTCTTGAAAGTGAAAGCAGGCTCAACCTAAAACTAAGAAGGGACAAACTTAGAACTAAGACCTTACACCCCCAGAGAGAACGCTGGGCCCTCCTTCGTCAGGGACAATGCAGTAGCCACTTGGCTTGTGGAATTTTCTGAAGGATATTTTCTGTAACTTGTTAGTTAACTTAGTTTTGCATTTCAGGCAGAGGTGCACTCTCTAATGTCGGGCCTTTGACTTTGCAGGACTGGAGAGCTGTTCACACAGATGTTTAGAGTTTCCCCTCTCTTCTTCTTCCTCAATAAATCTTTCACAGAAGCAGTCATTTTTAAAAGTTGAAATATTTGGCCTTTACCAAAGAGCTTTCTTTTTTTCCTTAAGCAAAATCCTTTCAGAAAGAAACTTCAATGGGGAAGGGCAGATTAAGAATGCATATGTCCCAATCCACTTGTATAGAGTGTAATCATATTCACGTAAGTAAAATGATGGAAGAACTCTTGAAGGTAATCCTTTGGGATTAAGGATCCTGGGAAGTTCTCTCAGGTAAAGAAAGCTTACAGCAGATGTGTAATATATGTCTTGAGAGCTATTTATAAGAAATTTAAGAGGATTGTTTTGTTTTCCTTTATTAAAGATTTAAGCCTTTTTTACTTTGCATAAAGAAAACTCTACAAAAGTTTTATAGGTATAACTTTGCTAATTTTTTAAACTTTTCTGAAACAATTAGCTGTAGCCAAACTACGTGGTTATGTTTTGCTACATGAGAATTTGAAAATGCAATATGTGTGGTAAATCTACTGTCTAAAATTTATAATGGTCTCAGATATGGTTAGAATTTTGGTAACTTTTGAAAGTTATTTTTCCCCTTTAGTCATGGATTTCTATTTGTTTTTTAATGTTAATTTTTCTATAAAGCATCTGAATTGACTTGGCTTTTCCTATGTAAAAAACTCAACACTTGTTAACTCTGTACTTTAATAAAATTTAAAATTAAAACTATGTTGTTTTTT